TTATGGTTCAGGAAACAAAGTATCTCGGTCTTATTCTCACCCCAGACGGGAATAGGATGGATCCGAAGAAGGTTGTCGACGTGTTAGAGTGGTCTACACCGCAGAACCTTCATGATGTTCAGGTATTTTTGGGATTCGCTAATTTCTATCGACGGTTTATCCTAGGATATTCAAAGAATGTTGCCCCACTTACGGCTTTGACGAAGAAAAATGTTAAGTTTGAATGGACGGACGAAAGGGAGGAAGCATTCCAGACATTGAAAAAGATGTTCACAACGGCACCCATACTAGCGCACTTTGATCCGAATCGGAAAATCGTAGTAGAAACCGATGCATCCGACTATATTTCTGCTGCAATCCTGTCCCAACGTGATGATGAAGGAATTTTACATCCAGTTGCTTTCTTCTCAAAGAAGCATTCCCCTGCGGAATGCAACTATGAAATCTACGACAAAGAACTTCTGGCAATTGTACGATGTTTTGAGGAATGGCGACATCATTTGGAAGGGGCACAATTCCCAATTGAAGTCCTCAGCGATCATAGGAACCTCGAATATTTCATGTCAACAAAGCTATTAAACCGTCGACAAGCCCGTTGGTCGGAATTTCTTTCACATTTTGATTTCGTTATTCAATTTAGACCAGGGAAACAAGGGGCAAAGCCGGATGCATTGACTAGGAGGTCGGGTGACCTACCTAAGGAGGGGGATGAACGGTTGACGCATCAAAGCCAGGTGGTTTTGAAGGTAAAAAATTTGGATTCAAAGCTAAGTTTGTTCGCGGGTTCTTTTTCAAATGAATCCGCTGAAGGAATGTCCACTGTAGAAGAGTTGTTTTTAAATGCTTACCAAGTTGACAGTTTCCCGAACAAAGTCCTTGCAATGCTTCGGAATGGCGTCCGTTACTCGAATAAGATTTCGCTTGCCGAATGTACGGAAGATAATAACGGTCGGCTACTTTATCGCGGCGCACTCTATGTACCAGATGACAACGATCTTCGGCTAAGACTCCTAAAGGAACATCATGATAAACCATCGGCAGGCCATCCAGGCAGAGCGAAGACTTTGGAACTCCTGAATCGAGAGTACTACTGGCCACAGATGCGAAAATATGTCGACCAGTACGTTAGGAATTGTAATGTGTGTGCCCGGAGCAAGGCACTACGCAATGCACCTTATGGGGTACTTCGACCTATGCCAATACCGGATGGACCGTGGAGGGATGTACCAATGGATTTCGTTACTGACCTTCCGGAAAGCGATGGATATAATGCGATATTGGTAGTAGTAGATCGACTAACCAAGATGCGACATCTGATTCCCACAACTAAAGAGGCGGATTCAAAAGAAGTAGCGAGGTTGTACATCGATAATGTTTGGAAATTACATGGACTTCCTGAAACTATGGTATCTGATCGAGGAACACAATTTGTTGCGGAATTCTGGAGGTCCCTTTGCGATCGTTTGGAAATATCGCCAAAGTTCTCTACAGTGTTTCACCCCCAGACGGATGGACAAACGGAAAGATTCAATGCTGTGATGGAACAATACCTTCGAAGTTATGTTTCTTATCAACAGGATGACTGGGTTCGATGGTTGCCAATGGCCGAGTTTGCAACAAATAACCATGCTTCTGAAACGACGAGAATCTCTCCATTTTACGCCAACTCAGGGAGGAATCCAAGAATGACTTTTGGTCCTTTGGAACATGGTAGGACGACAGCGGAGGATCAGGCTAATAGTATTGCAAGGGAGATGAAGGATATATTGGATTTTTTATAGGATGAATTATTTCGAGCGCAAAGGATTCAAGAAGAGTCCACCAATATAAGTCGGACTCCAGCACCTCACTATCGTGTGGGAGATAAAGTTTTCTTATCGACCAGCCATGTCCTCACCAAACGACCATCGAAGAAACTCGATTGGAAACGCATTGGACCGTATGTCGTGAAACGGATCGTTAGTCCGTATGCCTATGAGTTGGAACTCCCTCGTTCTATGAAAGTTCATCCCATATTCCATGTCTCTTTATTGTCGTCTGCAGCAAACGATCCTTTACCAGGACAACAACAGTTACCACCACCGCCGGTCGAAGTTGAAGGACAGGAGGAGTGGGAAGTCGAGGATATTTTGGATTCCAGGGATCGTCGGGGAAGATTTGAATACTTGATTAAGTATGCCGGTTATGACGAAGCTTCGTGGCAGCCATTGTCGGATGTCGAACATTCGCCTGATATTGTCAAACGATTTCACGAACGATATCCACGGAAGCCTAAGCCTACCAGGAGGTAGGCTTTAGAGGGGGGAGTGGTCTGTAACGGCAGCCATGTGGTTTGGTTATGCGAGGTGTTGCAGTATGAAGAGGAAGGATTATGTAGTGTGGTTGGGTTTTGCGAAGCGGGTTTCTATTATGTTCTTTCTGTTTCTGTTATGCGAGGGTATGAGTCAGTATTGGGATAGGGTATGGATATATAAGTGGGGCGTTGTCTTGTGATTTGTTGTTTCTCTTTCTTTTCCTTTTCTCTTTATGCAACCTCTGTACTTCACAGTTACGAATACTATTTGGTTCGCGCTACGTCATAGGGTTTACCCGGTATACTAGCCCAGGTACAACAATCTATAGTCCACAGTCCCCGTTCTTGCCTTAGGTGTACCCTTCGGCCCCATAGTCCATAGTCCACGAACCTCCTACGTCCATGTCTTCGCCTCGGTTATATTCCTTGGCTTCATAGTTCCTACGTCCATAGTCCCCGTTACATTTTATTTTAGTATGGGTGTCTTGTGGGACAATAGTGGAATGGATATAGTCATCTTTCGGGGCATATGGTTGCCCGTATTGGGCCGTGTCGGTGAAATCAGAAAGGAGTCTATCGTTTGTTTGTTCAATGGTGGTGGATTGGCTGGATTGAGTTTCATCAAACCTCGAAAGGGGAAGGCGGCTAGCGGAGGGTTGAGTTGCCCAAAGAAAGTTTAGGAAGACTTGTAATATAATTGCTCTATCATGGTAGTTTGGAGTAGTGGAGACTTCAGATAGGATCCTTTTCCTGCTGTATAGATTTGGTGGGGTGGATGGTCGAGAGGGTGTTAGTGATGCCAGTTTATTTGAGTTGGCGATCACGGAAGTATTTCTTTCGCTTAGAGGACATGATATTCTAGCAGGATCTTACTATCCATAGGAAAATCAACTGCTGTAATATAGAGCTGGACTGAAGAGATAGTACTTGGACGAGGATAAAGTTTTTGAAGTTATTCAGTGGTAGAGTTTGTATTGTGAGCTTCAGCAAGCAGGGAGAACGAAGAAGGTTGCGTAAAGAGAAAAGAGAGAAACAGAACATCAATGAAAGACAGAACCCCTTTATATATCCAATAACTCCAGTCTGAGTATGATTCAAATACTCGTACAATGGAACACCATAGAACCCAAAGGAAACCCATATTACTAATTCTAACCTTATTGACATGTACTTTCTCTTTACGCCCTTACACAATATACGACCATGATGCTAAAACACTGTTACAGAAAAAGGTTGTGCAAAGAGAAAGAGAGAAACAGAACATGAACGAAAGACAGAACATGAACGAAAGACAGAAAATGAACGAAAGACAGAACTCTTTTAGATATCCAACAACCCCAGTCTAAATATGACTCTTACCCTCGCATAACAGAAACCCATAGAACTTAAAAGAAACTCATATTACTAATCCTAATCTCTTTGTCAAGTACTTCCTGGTTATGCTCTAACCTAATTTCCGATCGTAATGCCAAGACACCATTACACTGTTGGTAAAATTACTTTTGATATATTTACCGCCCATACCCTTAAATCTTTTTTTTATTTAAAAAAAATATTCTATTTAATGATGTCCACTTATAAGTATAACTGAGAAGTATATTGACAATATTGTAAAAAATGGAAGGATGGCTATAAATAAAATATATTAACTCAGGTGATTATATAAGTATTGGTCAAAACGTTCAAATATATACTGGACCAGTATACAGGAATAGACTAGGAAAAATAAAACAAAATAGTAACTGAAATATTTATTATTCTGCGGAGCAGAACGGGCTGTTATGTTTAAGTACTTACATCTCTCAAGATGTCCCTGTTCTGATTACAATTACCAACTCTTATTAATCATTGGATATTTTTCTTGCGAGAAAACTCTTTAAAATTATTAAGTTCTGTGACTTTATTGTTTCCAAACCATTCTACTCCTTTACCCACTCCAAACAGTGAAATTTTTTATTTTCAATTATACTCTGAACATTGAGTCTATGGTCGGAATCAAAAGGAATCTCCAGTTAGACCTGATGCCGGAAAAATTCCTGGTAAAATATGCAAACAATATACTTAACAATTTATTTATCAACAATGTACTCAATTTCCCTAGGCCAAATATTGTGAAAACTACACATGCAAACATAGAAATAAGTCAAACCTCATTGTTCTTTGGTTTTTGCTAAAAGAAAAAAAAAAAAAAACTGTTTACAATACCATGAAAAAACTCTAAGATGTATACAAACTAAGATATAATATTTCTTAGAGGCTCTAGTTCGCCTGCTGAGGGGGAATATTGACTGTACCCCATCAACCTTAAGTACATACATGGAAGCCTACTAAACGCCTCTCACACCCAAGTCCCAATCTTTTTGGGCGTGCGGGATCCTCGGAGCAGGTAAAAAGTACCGGACAATGCAAGTTTTGTGTCTGGGCTTTTTTTGCAGTAGCTCACGCCTAGCACGCGCACCCATTGGTGAACCAAAAACCTGCATTGTCCGGTACTTTTTACCTGCCCCGAGTAATTCCCGGTGGTTAAGCGAGCAGCAGCGTCACATAGATAATTAGTGGAACTCTCAATTAGTCCCAGTGGATTTGCATAACTTCATAGATACAGGCGAAAAGATAAGCCTATCGTTACTATCTATCTCCTACAGTTTCCCCGTTCATTAGCCTCGGCTGTATCCTCATCAAAAAAACACCACAAAGCAACACCAACATGCCTGACTCCCAGGAACCAACTCTCACAATAACTCCACCGGGAATGGCGGTGCCCGAACATGGTGGCCTGGCGAAGAGGCGCCAGCAAAGACTGTTGACCTCCGGTGAGCTCTTTGTGAAAAAGTATCGAACAGAGATCGCAGCGAGTGCTAGTAGTTGTGTATCGACATTCATTGCTGTGAGTTATTTCGCTCTTATTACGATCCGTCATCGAGATAGAAAATGCAAGATTTACAATTCTGTAAAACTAGTTTCCCCTCGACTCCGTCAAGACGCGCATGCAAGCGTGAGTTATTACTACTATCTCTTCTACTCACCTGCTCTTCCTTCATCGCAACCTCCGCCCGATTCGCTCAAGTTACTGTCGCCCCTTAATCGTATAGGCGGGAAACAGATTAATGTGTTAATTTGTGGAGGTTCAGGTATAAATTTCGAAGTTTTTGGGATTGCGTTACTCAAACCCATAAAAACGAAGGAACAAGAGGTTTCTGGCGAGGTATGGCTTTCTTCTATATTTGATATTACTGGGGCTTAATAAATCAACAATATTTTGTGTACTACAGGAAGCCTTGCACCTTTGGCCTCGGTAACCTTAGTACGGACCATATCCTTTTCGATCTATTCAAAGTCGAAAAATACGTACTCCTCGTTTTTCAAGTCTATGCTAGGTCCGAAGGCTATATCTTCTCCGAGCGAAGCGTTTAAACCATTAAACCCAGTCTACTGGTTTATTAGTGGTGCTACGGCCGGGGGTGCCATCACAGTTATTGCGTGTTAGTGGGGTGCCTCTTCTTGATGTCCTGACGGGGGGAGTGAGGAATGTGTCTTGATGCGATGTGCGTCAGATGCAATAGGGGACTGACACCTAGCTCGGTTTAGGCCCATTTGAGTTTACGAAGCTTTCGTCGCAGATCGAACTACTGATGGCCCGCTCGCGGATGGCGAGTGTGGATGACCCAAGTCACATCACCAAGTACCAGCCAAAAGGGACTTTTCAGAGTGCTAGTAGTATCGTGAAGGCGAGAGGATTTGGGGGACTGTATTCCGGGTTTCACCTTCACTTTAGTGGGTACATCTTTGATTTGTGAATCATTCTGGACGTGGTAAATGGATGTGAACGATTGAAGTTAATACACTTGGGAGCATTAGTCCGTGACACTCTGGGAACAGCAATGTACTTTACGGTTTGTATATCCTGGAATATATCCTAGTGTCATTCTGCTTTTGAAGAGGGAGACTAATTGTTTTGAGGCACGTCAAGTTTTATGAAAGTGGCAAACATTTGTTTTCCTCCTCGAACGGCGCTGGACCATTGGCGATTGCGGCTTCTGGTGGACTGTGCGGCTTGCTTAGCTGGGTCCTAGTAAGAAGACTTTCTTCGAATTTTACCTGATACTAACCGTAGAAGATCTACCCGATAGATTCGGCGAAGGCAATATATCAGAGGGACGTCTTGACACATCGGCCGGGTGAACCTCTACCTAAAAGGCCATTTCGATTTTTTAATCGTAGGATGTGAGGAATCTCTCCCGGATCTCACATTTATCCTATTTCAAATAAAAAGTTAACCTCCTCTTCGATGCAGGTATCGCGGCCTGGGGGTGTCCATGACTAGATCATGCCTCCTGAATTCTGTCTTCTTCAGCAGCTATGAGTACATCAAGAGACGTGTTGATTCAATTGTATAGGGGCGGTGGAAGGACAACTAGCACGATTCTCTCAACTCTCAATAAAGTACGAGGCATTCATTACTTATCCCCCTTGGTTTGTGTCAACGATGGTAAACTTGGTTGTTTATACATATTTTATTATATTTTCTGTTATTTTGAACGGAGAGGGGGTTGTGCTGATCTAACCTAAGCTAACTAGCATGTGAGTCTGGGTATTTAGTTCCGCGAAACCTATATAAATGCCGCTGTAATTTTGTGTTACAAAGGCACAAGCCTTTAGCGGTAAATAACACTGGCGGCAAATAACATGAATGAACGACAGTCTCTCTTGCTATGTATTTTAGGAAGAATTTAAAGCATTACATACAGCTGCAAAAAATGGCTTACAATGTGTAATAATGTGCGTTATTTTGATAAAGCCTAATGAAATGCAGTCTGATCAGCCCAAAAGTGCCTTGCAACTGGAAGTGAATCCGGGATTATCTAGAGTATGTCAGCCGCTATTCGATCGATACAAAGACCCATAATCCAAAACAATGTTTTCCAGGATATATTATTATTCTCTTTTTGTAATATTAGTCAGGCCTTCTACTTTTAGTAAAACCATGCTTATTATCATTGGCATTTGATTACATAACCTCAGTTTTCTTTTCTTTTTGGTTTGTGGTCATACTGTAGTGGGGATTTCATTGAAAATTCATCATTATTTCTAGCTATGGATGAGATTCACGTTGCTTGAGCCGTCGTTCTGAAAAAGGTTGCTTTTTCTATTGGGTTTTATCTTCTAAAGCCACTGACCCAAATGTATGTTGACTTCGCAACATATTCTTTTGGTTCTTACTTAACTTTACGGTCTCAGCCTGATTGGGTCTCTTGGAAATGCACTCGCTCTCCTAATATTCTGCAGTCCCAGCCACAAGAAGACGACGCGTTCAAGACCAATCCCCCCACCAGCGTGCGGCGGCGCGCCATATCGAAACGCATCAACGTAATCTTCCAGTCCAGGAGTTTTTGGATCCATGCCTAAGCTCTTCATGCGTTCCGTAAGGAACTCAGAATTGTGCACACGCTGTGCGCCAGAGAGGATCTCTTCACCGCGCATAAAAAAGTCTGATTATGATCAGTATTGTTTTCAGTCTTATAGATCAAGGTTGGGTATACCATAGGAATTGGAGTAATTTTCGTCTTCAGGGTCAGGCATGGTATAGAATGGCCTCACGGCCAATGGAAATTTGTCCATGACGTAAAAGTCCGTGTCATATTTTGCCAGTACTAGCCTACCGAGGTTCCTCTCCATCTCCGTGCTCAAATCCTCAAGCTCTGGGACATCGTAGCCAGCTTCTCTAAGCATTGCAATACCCTCCTTAAATTTTATACGCAACACTTTGCCGCCCTTCGGAATTTTGAATTCTTCGACGGGGTATTGCTCTCGAACAATTGCAATTTCTTTGGCGAATCGCTCACGAAGTCCGTTGAAAATGAAAACAAAGAGACTCTCAAGAACTTCAATAACCTCATGGTAATGTTCTTCAAATGCCATTTCGAGGTCGAGTCCGGTAAACTATATATTTATATCAGTCTGTATCAATGTGGGGTGATGAACATCGCACAAACCTCGGTCATGTGTCTATGTGTCTGAGAGTTCTCGGCCCTGAAAACTGGGGCGATCTCAAAGACACGCTCGAAATCACCAGCAATGAGCATCTGCTTATACAGCTGTGGACTTTGGGCAAGGTAAGCATCGCTCTTAAAATAGGTGACCTTGAATACGTTCGCACCACCTTCGGAAGCGGCAGCGATCAATTTTGGTGTGTGAACTTCAGTAAACCCTTTCTGTAGAAGAAATTCTTTGAAGAGCATGCAGACACCTGATGATATGCGGAAGATTGCCTGGTTGGAGAGTGTTCGGAGATCGATAACACGGTTATCGAGTCTAGTAGAGAGCGAAACTGTCGGGTACCTCCCTTCACCTTCCTCGACTTCCTTTAGTGATCTCGAGGCATCTTCAAACTGGATTGGCAGTACTGGTTCTGCCGCGGCTATCACAAACAGCTTAGAGACATGAACCTCAACATCCGACAAGCTTGCTGAGGTGACAGGTTCAGGTGTTTTTCGAATCACACCATAGACTAGAACGATGCTCTCGGCATTGATTGCTGAAGACCACTTAACCATCTGCTTCGAAACACTACCATCTGTATTGACTGTCATCACGGCCTGGATACTGTCGCTTTGCTGCCGCAAAACAAGAAAACACATCTTTGCTCCTTGAATTCTAGCATTCTGCATCCTGGCACGAAACACAACCTCGCGGCCGTTGTCCCCAGCCGTGAGCGACGAAAGCCGGATACGCTCGATACCAGAACGCTCGGTTGATTGAATCATTGGTTTTATACCATAATTTGCCGTTGCATGGTCGATGTTTGCAAGTTCACGGGCGGCCTTCTGTTCGGCCTCGAGAGCAGCTCTCTTTGCTGCCTTCTCGGCCTTCTCTTTTTCTTTTTGAATCTTTTTTAGGGCATTCTTTGTGAGAGGTTGACCATCCGGTCTATATTAACGGATGTTAGTTATTCACTGTTAAGCAATGAGAAATGAAGACGTATGCGTACCCGAGAGGGATTTCCTCAGCTGAATCATTGAGGGGAGCAGAGATTTGTTCGGTTGGGGGTTCTGAAGAAGACATCTTAGCTTGTGGTATTGCTTTCAAGCGTTGTAGACCGAAGGGTTTTTAAATCTGTAGTTAAATCGATGGATGACTCTGATTTGAAGTGAGATGTTTAGTGGGGTGATTAAGTCTTGGCGAGGGGCTTGTTGCGATTTCCAGGACAGGTCTCGACACACAACATGGAAATCGCAATAGACTAGGTATAATTACTCACTTTAGCAGAATCAAGAGGTGACTACGTAGACGAGCTATTTCTGGAGTAAGCTTTGTTACTCACGACATGTGGGTGTAGCGGCTTAACATCAGGGTTGGTTATTTACCAGGCCCACAGCTTATATGTAAGTGAAACATTCTAGTTAACTTCTAGGGAAAAGTTTTGACAAGTTCGGTTATCTAACTGGCAATATTTGATCACGGAAACTAATTATTCATGTCTTTCAGTAGATTTTATAAAGCTAGTACTAGATAAGAAATACAGTGATATATTGAGGCTGTATGTCAATTATACAAATTCAGAATTGAAGATTTCATCTTTTAATGGAAAAAACAAAAAAAAAATTTAAAAAATTAATATTTGTGGCTAAATCAGTGCCCCGAATGTCGGAGACAGAGGGGTCGCCTGTGAAATTGTATAAAGTTGCCTATCTAAGTTTAGTTCGCTATGAATGATGATTATTCAGCGAGCCAGATTCATTTTTGCAAGCCTAGGAGCTTTGTCTGGTATCTGTCATAGTCTCTGGTATACTAGTATGTCACTCCTTAGCATATATTTCTTATATAAGACCTTTCTATTGAACTGTAGTCAACCAAACGACGAACCTGGAGGAAAGAGGGGAAGGGGGGCCGTAAGGCCCCCATTAACTGGCTACTTGAAAGGTCAGAATTCTATTCACATAAGAAATATATTCATATATAGGCAGTGTAATAACGTATTTCACCGTGTACCCGTACGCCACCGTGTACCCGTTCGTATGTTTCAGAGATTTGGCTTGAAAAACACTTTTATATTTGCTTAACTCGAGATGGATATCTACAGGAACTGACTATAGTACAGTGTGAAATCTTGATGACCTTCGAAGTATTATTGGTAATGGGTCCACTGGTGAGTCGGGTTCAGAATTCCATTCAAGTTCATCATCTACTACTAGCGGGCTGGTATCTTTTTTTTTCTTTGCCGTTCTTGCTGCCTACTTCATAGCCTTTTTTTTCTCTTTCCTCTCCCATTCAGTTCTCAAGCGGACGACGTCATCAGATGATAAAACAAGGGCCTTGGAGAGCACTTTGCAGCTTTGCACTTTTAGGGAGTCAGTCTCCGCTTTGTTCTTTCTTCGTAAGTGATCCAATTCTTGTTCTAGTATTACGACCTTTAAAAATAATTTGAGTTAGCAAGTGTAATGGAGCCATTTCAACTGTCTGGTGTATGAGTATACATGGGACCCGGTTACATACTGAGAGTTATTGATAGAAGCCAGTTGCATGGTGATATGCAAGTACTGGCAGTGAGGTTAGCTACCAGCTGTTAGAGTAACTACATTCCGGGCGCTAGGAAGGAGATCTATTCATGGGAGCAATAACTGACGAGTCTGTGCCTCGCCAGTGACTAGAAGACCAGCCAGAGTGAAGCTCTGATTGCCCGGTGATCCTCTGCATCCTCTGAGCATTGTAAGTCCGCCGAAAGGCAGGGACTATGCTAGGGAAGTCTACAATAAGCGAAAGCTCTACAGCAATGATTAAGCTTACACCTGAGCGGCAGCTCATTCATGCAGGTCCTCGGTTGTGTGGCAACCAAGGCTGCAGGTGTTACAAAGGCTTTGATTAAGGGTGGTTGCCTTGGGTATCGGAAAGACCTGCTGACGCTTAGAGAAAAGCGGGGTAGCGGTGGTATTGTTTCCGGCACTGAGGAAAGGCTTCACCGGAACTTAGTAAGGAGTTAGGAGCAGAGAATCGAGGCCTTTGGAGTATAAGTACTCAGGTTCATTCTCGCCCTTCAGTCCTGTTCTCTCCAGTCTTCATCAGAAAGAAAACCAAGTTCTTATCGGTAGCAGAGCCCTTAAAGATTATTGAGTTCTAGCGATAGTATCTTTGAATAATCTGCAACCTGATTATCTATCTTGCACGGCCGTCTCTATTCTATCTTATTCTATTTCTCTTAGAAGAGACCCCCGTTACAGTCTACGAGGGTTGAAAGGGTGTATTCCAGCGGCCTCAAATGCGTTGAGAATATTCTTTTTGGTAAAAGTAATCTTGCGTGCTTGAAGGAGATGCCTGCCAGTTTCTACAATTAGAAACCGTTTTCAAAGCCTGAGTAGAATGATACTTACAGGTAGAATGTCCCTTTATTAATACCAGTATTACCATTTTGTAACGAGTTGTCTAAACATTCTGAGTAATTGCGTTGGAGCGGTCCAAATAAACCTACATCCAATGGTTGAAGTAGGTGTTTTGAGTTTGCAGGCAGACATAATGGAATAATGTTGTGTGACAAACAGAATACAAAGAACTGTCAGGTGCAATGCGATACATGCCCATCCATAATAAATAACCGTGTGTTTCCCGCAGCACTGAAATTAAATCAGTCAGTCATATTTCTACTAGGTTGTATTTCAATTTCAGTTGATTACCTTTCCCTTGTATTCGGTTCAAAAACATCGCGCATATATTCCAGTCCAATGGCACTATTTGTCCAACCAGTTGATGATCGACTAAAGTATATTTTATCACCAGCTTTGACTAGTGCATGTCATCCTGCATACTGAGCTTCGCCTTGATAGATAATCATTGGTGGTGGAGTTGTTCCAGCTGCGGAAACCGCCTCGATAACTGTAATTAATTTACGCGTTCCATCTTGTGATTTAAAGTTTCGCTTCTTTCCCCTTCGTAGAATAACCTTAACTCGAGCTGACCGTCCCATTAGGAATCCCTTCTCATCCATATTATACATGTTTCCAGCAACTATTCCGTGTTCTCGAATGGCGATGAGTAGTGTTTCATAAAAGTCCTCTAATATCTCCGGATTGTCTGCATACGCGCGTTGCTTGTCCAAACGCGTACAAAACTTGGATGCAAGGTCGGGGTGACGTGACAGAAAACGGGTCATCCAATTTTTCCCTAGCTTTTGCGATTGTATATCATGGCTTTTGATGAAATCCAATGCCATATCTTTGACATATTGGTGGCGTGACGGAAATCCCCAATCATCCAGCTTGAAAACCCATTCCTTGATTGGATTCTCTTCCGCTGGTGTCAATGCTTGCTCACCAATCCTGCACTCTTGCCTGCTTCTCTTTCCTTTCAGTCTATTCCGTAGCGTACTCTCTGCCACCCTATGCATTTCCGCTGCTTCAGGAATGGTTAGACATTTTCCAGTAGCTAGATCTGTCTTTGCATCTGAAATATATCTCTCAAAGGCTTCATCCTGCTTCACCTTAACGCGATTGCTGACTGGCCGGCGAGGCATAGAAGATATCTTAAACACGACCACTGCAATTGTCTCCAGGTGCAATCCTGCTGAGAACGGAAGCTAGTAGCAAACTCTTCGTACCTACCATTCCCTAAATATATGCGGGGTCCTGAGACATGCTTACCAACCTAAGACAAACACAGACACGGGTACATAGTGTTTTGCAGGTACACGGTGAAATACGTTAACTCTCGCAAGGTGGTTCCATGTACAGTATTGTGGTCGAAGAAAAGCAGAAACATTCGGGGCCAGGCCAGCCTGCTGGCATCCAGTATCCCTTCCTCTGTTTTCAAGGTACACCGGAAGTGGTTAATGTGGTGTATCGAACCATTTCTGGGTTGTGGGGGTGCAACCACTTTGGGTGGCGCAACCATCATTGACCCTCAACTATCGAGAATGAACACAACTACAGCAATGATTTGCACATAACTACAGATTCTGGTAGAATTAATGCGAAAGTGGGTTTTCCGTGACCCGATAGTCCCATTGGCCCTCAAAGGAATTTTTGCAGTGAGCACGGGCCAAGAAACCCACCCTTTTAGTTCTGACTTTCGCAATAATTCTACCGGATACTGTACAAGTTTACCGCCCGCCGTTCAACTAGTTTCACTGTTGCTCTAAAAGCGACTGTAGTAGTATTTAATTCCTGGGGTGAGAATATTTGTGAGTGTTAAAAATACCCCTGACTAAACAATATATTTCGAAAAGCAGCGAAGGAATGCTCAATAACATTTTGCAGCATGAGCAAGTAGGTACAAATCATAGGCACATCAAACAACCATCCTGGTAAGTGCGATGAGTCTACTCGCACGTCTTCGTCAAGAATGTGTAGGTCTAAGGTATTCAACTAGAGAAGTACGCATTCTCTACCATAACACGCAAAATGCTCGTCACCTTAATAGGCTAGATACAGAGAAGGCAATTCATTTAATTTCTCTGACCCGTTAACCTCAAGCACGCCAGAACAGTGTACGTAGAGGTAATCATATACGTACATCTTATTATACCCTGCTTCCAAAATGACCATTGCCCCACTCCCCCACCCCCACCCCCACCCCCACCCCCACCCCCACCCCCACCCCTGCGGCATACGCTCCTAGAAAGCTTGCTCAATATTCTTTCAACACTGCACTCGCTCATTTAGGGACTTTGGACGTAGTAATGCCTGTTTCTTGTGGTCCTGTGATGGACACCGGCTTGGCCGTTTCTTGTTCCTTCGACGGAACCTCTCGCTCATCATCACTATCACCAAGGGAGAACGGATCCCTATCCATAGGCGCTGGCTCTACGCTCTTCAAGGGTTCCCACTTGCTGGTTGTAGCTGGTGATGGCTGCCTAACAGGTGAGACAGAAGCTGAAGGGCGGGGATTTGGGGCAGGGCGATATAGGTCTTCGTCAGAAATATTTGTAGGACGATCTTCAAAGGAGACCTTGCGACCAGCTTTATCAGCCGAAGACGGTTCGAATAAACCTGGGTTTGCTTTAGGGCGTCTTGATTGCGGTGCTACAGCATTTGTTAAAAATAAATATTACGAGCTTCTATAGTCATTTACAGTACCTTCAGTAGTAGTGTCCCTCAAATGCAAATGAGTGAAATCATCAGTCAGGACCCTAGGGTCAGCATCGTACCCTCCATCCCTAGAACCCCGTCTACCGGTCGCAGGTCGCGCATACTGAGCGCTGTTACGTGTAGAGGGTGGAGGCGAGTTCTCTGGCGAGTCGCCGTCCAGACGCTTTTTGATATCGGTGATCCATGAGTTGAACTTATTTTGTGTCTCAGCAAACCCTTTAAGGATATTTTCCTTAATCACCGGGAGCTCGTCTTACAGGCTGGAATTAGTTATTCGGATATATTTAAGTATATATTGAGAGTATCTACCATCAATGAATGATCTTTCCTTATTTGGATCAAAGTCCTCATCTCGAAGTGGTGTGTGTTGCCTTCTTCTAGTTTCCACATTTCTAGTGTTGTAATTCACACTGCTACCGCCTCCTCTTCCAGAACCTATGTTACCTGCTCCGAAATGTTCGGCTAACTGCCTGGCATATATTTCATCTGCCTCGAGCTGGTTCTGAGGAGTAGAGGTCATATAGGGAGTGGTGGCGAAACCTTGTGGGCCCTGGCGCCGTGGATGTTCAGTGTGTTGAGTAAGATTATAGTCTGAGCCTCTCTGTAGAGATTTAGTTTTGTGGAATCCTGAGAGTGCAGTACTACCTACTTGTGGTGAATGAGTACCAGGGCGAGGACGAGGCGGTTGAGGTGGCGGACGCATATCTTCTACAACAGAAGGGTCGCTCATACCTAGATCATATCAGAACCCAAATAGTTCATCTGATTATATAGAGATATTCTTACTTAGTAATGCCGTAAATGCAGGCTCTATTTGACCACCAGAAGCCACCAACACAGCACGTACCACCGCCCCATCGATAGACGGAAATGCCTCTTGCAATGTAGCTTGAGCCTGTTGTTGAGGCGACATGGGACGTGGAGGCTTCGCTGGGGGCGTTTCGAGGGTAGTGGATGGGCCCAACGGTGCTTGATTTGGAGCTTGGCTAGAATTCTTAGCGAGAGCAGGAGAGTTATCCAGTGTGGAGTTTGTCTAAGTGAGTGGTTAGTAAATACATGTAATTAATAGAAGTAGCTTAAGACGCTACTTATATGGAATAAATGGGGTAGATGAAGAATAGAGTATACCGGGAACTCCTCTGGAAGTTTTTCTTGATGTTCAGATTCCATAATTGTTTCAAAAAGATTGTAGGTAAGAAGTATTTAGACTTTATATGAGCAGAGCTTGTTAGGGGTGAGGGGTATAAGAGCAAATGGATGATGGATGGTAGAGCTGAGTTGTTTTTATCTTTAAAACTATTTTGAGACGGTTTCTTGAATGGTGATGTTAGCTGTGGGGTGTGCCGTCATCCATTCCGGACCTCGATTGCGCATTACGTTGCCCCGCCAACTTCCCCGCTAGATGTGAGGCCACACAGTCAGCACAGCCACATCAGATTGTGCCACATCCCACTATGCGAAAGTTCAAATGGTGGAATATCCATTCTTCATTACCACCATACTGAACTGCAATTATGCCGCCGAAAACATCGATCGTCACAGTCTGGAGACATCTAAAAATAGGGTCGCTCTTTGCCTTTACCTCACCCCTCAAGATCAACAATGCTTCACAATTTTCTACCTCTTCGCGGGTCGCTTTCGGCGGTGTTAAGATGAAGAGAGTCTCTTCCTCCACCTCCCCTACCCTCCTTGCAGCCTCTAAAGCCGCTGCACTCGAGCGCCGACGAGTTCCTGAACGCGTTGGCGCGCTTGCTGTTAAGAAGGAAATGACCGCTGTTTATCTCCCCAATGGCCAACGAATTCCTTGCACAATCCTACAACTTGATCGAGTCCAGGTTATGGCTTCCAAAACTAAGAAGAAGCATGGCTACTGGGCTTGTCAAGTAGGTTTGGGGTGGAGAGCTCCAAAAAACATAACAAAACCAATGCTGGGGCACTACGAAAAATTTGGTGTAGCACCCAAGAAAACAATCAAAGAATTTAGGGTGAAGGACGAGAACGGTATTTTGGCACCTGGCACCATCATCAGCGCTGATCATTTTGTCGAGGGACAATATGTTGATATTTGGGCAACATGCAAAGGAAAGGGGTTTGCGGGAGTGTGTTCTCGAAGCTTCAAAACGTAACGCCTCGTGAGACTGATATGGTGCTTTTTACAGGGAATGAAACGCCATGGATGGGGTGGTCAGCCAGCCTCTCATGGTAACTCTTTAACTCATCGCGCAATGGGTTCCGCTGGTCAATCCCAGGGTGGCGGGTCTCGTGTGTATCCGGGAAAGCGGATGGCAGGGAGGATGGGTGGGCACTCGAAGACCATTCAGCATAGGCAGGTTTTGAAAGTGGACCGGGAATTGGGCGTGGTTTTGATCGATGGTAAGTAAAGTAAACCCATATATAAGCTCCCTGTTCATTAACATTCGTTAGGACCCATTCCGGGGCCAAAAGATGGCATCGTTAGTATTCAAGATACTATTCACAGGCCTTCTCCAGTGGTTCCGGAGGAACCTCACATAGTTGCTTCCATGTAATATATCTCAGGTTAAGGGGTTGACATTTGTTTAGATGTTTACTACACAGAATAGGGTTGTACATTCCTCAGTATTTATAGTTCTTGGGCCCTGTTTTGCCCTGTTTGATAATCTTCTGTAGTGGCTAAAAGATAGACTGTGGTGGTTCATTGTGCCAAGAAGATCTTGATCTGCCTTAATGAATAATCTTAGGTTGTTTAACACCGTAGGTTTTTCAGGATATCACTATTGGAATCCCCTATTGCTTAAGATCAAGAGGAGAATGAGAGGAATGTTTGAGATGCGATACTGGTTAGATAATTAAGAAACAGCACCGCTTAGATGGACACTCTATCATCAATCCCACCACCATCCCTCAGCCCAGTCATTAACACCACACTGTAGATCCCCTTTAATCCGGCGCGGCCCAGGCTGTAATAATGCCTGATCGTTTTCATCCGTTGGACGGTATCCGCTAAGTCACAACTCAACGTCATCCATTTCGCTAGGCTTCATCAATCCACCGACTTTCATTGCCTTTTCTCTTTCCGCCCGTCGTGCTTCTTCGGCAGCAATTTCCCGGTCCTCGGCAAACAATTCAGTATTATCCCCTGCAGAGAATTCCTTAAGTTGGATCAGGAAGTCGCGGAGGTTGAGTTTAAACTTTGGAAGGTCGTTATTTAGGGTGAAAAGGCCATCTACAAAAATCTTCACTTGGGTTCTATAAAATGATGGCATAAGCATTAGTTTACTGTTTAGTAAGATGAGAGAGAGGCCAGGACGACTTACGGCTGAAGATGTGGGAATGCATTTCGGAGAAGCCCCGCCACATATTCCCGCAAAAATTGTGAGTTTGTAGTGCCTACTGGTGCCTGATCCGGTGTGTAAAGAGGTGTCTGAACCTTTCCAGAATCTACGAAGTAGAACATTCTTGATAATAACAGTGCTTGTAATTTGAACCCTTTAAAGCCGTTAATGACAGCCCGCATGATCATTTGACAGAAGACTCACCAGCTTTGTGATCTGCATCGGTGAGAACAAAGAAGATATCCTGCAAAATAGGGATGAAAAATTGCTGGAAAAATGCACTCGCAGTTTGAGGGTCTGTCTCGGCAATATTATTGATCAACTCGATGCACATGTTCAGACCGGCTGCTTCGACCTCTCTATTATCGTGCTTGCTTGCCCATAGACAAGCATCGATGACGAATTTGAACTGGCGATTATCAAGTTTAAGTAACGCTGAAAATTCGTCAGTGAGCCAATCATTCCTGTCTCTCAAGGTCACATGTAGCTTACCAGGAAAACAATTTAAATTGATGGCTCTCAGGAGCTTGAAGAACTCCACTCTGTGTTCAGGATACTCTGAAAAGTCCTTGTTAATCATATCGAGCGTGCACTCGAATACGTTTTCCATGATAATGGGAATTTTGTCCTCCATCAAGCCGTGCAACTTGCTAATTATAGTTGACATGACATTCAATACCTCCGCATCTCGAGCATCCGGTACGTTACGGTTATAATCCACCAATATCGCATCCAGGAGCGGTGGGACTATGTTGTCGTTAACCATCTCGAGATTGTCCGCCTTCTGCACGTAAGTCTCAATCAATTTCAGAATTTCTTTCTTTACAGTACGAAGACCACGAATACGAGGCTTTTTTGGTGCAATAGGACCTTTGATAATGTTAGTAATGGGGTAAATAAATATACACATTTTCTACTACTTACCATCTCTGGCAACACCTTCAGAGACCATTTGGCTAACAGCACGGTACATAGATAACATATCCATGTAGATGCGACCAATTTGAGGATAGAAATAACTTCCAGTCGATGTGCAGGCTGCCACATTTGTTTTCATGATATTACCGATTATTTTTACCGTCTCAGTATTATCTAGAATACTAGGATCCTGGGTCGCCTGCAGGATGATGGCATCCCACTGTACAGAAAGGGGTCAGTATTGAGGTAATCGAGTTTTGATTGGGATTTATTACAGCTTGGTTCGGAAGAGCCATCAAGTCATGAATCAAGCGTTCTTGAATGCTAGACTGTCCTTGTGCGCTGATCATATAACCGCACGCCTCGTAAAATGTGTGAACTTGTTGAGGTGATAGGTCACGCGTAATTGTTTGCATAGTTCGCACAATCTCTTCGATAAAAGGCTCGCTCTCTCCAGGCTGGAGTGCTACGAAATGGCGTCGACATTTTTGAGCAATTTTGATGAACGTGTCACAAGCCATGTCCTGGACGCCTTGAAAAGAGTAAGCAAATTATCTCCAAATAACAGGGCACCTTGCGCATACCCTCATGTGTCTCGTGCATGAACTCAAAAAGTTTGTTCACCACAGTTTTCAAAAACTTCCAGTGCGCCTTGAGAAACCGAGGGTATTGTCCGACAATATACATAATATTCGAGGCTACCACCGCCTTGTTGTCCTTTCCCCGCTTCATCTCCGTGAGGCCAAGAAGATCTTTGATGACTGTAACCAGAAATCTCTTTTCGGTCTCTTCATTCATGGCACCCGAGATGGACCCAATGGCCCAGCATAGGGTGTTGCAATTGGGCCATGACCATTCAGTCCCATCAACTTGCTTGGCCAATTTTTCAGACATAATATTCTCGGTATCCACTACATCCAGATGCGTGAGATAAACTAGGCATTCCCGGGTTGCCTTATACAACTGAATGGTATCGCTTTCCTTGACAAATTCACGAACAATTTCCCCTTCGTCGTTCTCTACAATTAAAACCTTTATATAATTAGTGGTTGGTCAAACGATAATCATTACCTATAAAACGCGAACTAACCTCTTCTGGCCTAACCATTCTTTCGATCATGACTTGTCTCAAGTTCGATAGAACATCTGTATACATATGCTTTCTCAATGGAAAGTTTGCATGTAGGTTGGGATGAAGAGCGCCGCCTCCGCTAGCTAGCCCCACAGCACCGATCTGTCCCATACTAAGAAGAGGATTGATATCAGTGATTGGCAGGGACTGCATTTCTTCATAAAGCTCTTGAACAAGCTTGTTCCAGTATTCAAGACAGATTTTAAAGATCTCACGATCTTCAATCTGTGAAATACGGATAAGATAGAAATGGGAATGGGTAAGGTAATCTTTGTTAGGTAAATTTTCGATAAGCTAGTTTACTAGTCAATATTGATAGGACCTTCAAACTAAGACATGTTGGAAGAATACCTTGAGATGTGGGGTGAAAAAATTGCAAATGAACAAGGCCAGGTTTTGAATAAATTCCTGATCTCTATTATTACTTGATGGGTAAACGTAGCGGAGATCTGTAGACAACGGAACGATCTTTGAAACTGTTGTCATAACGTTGGTAAACATCTCAACCAATTTCTCATCGTACTGATATTGGTTAACCTGAAGGCCTCCGATTTCGGTCAAACACTTCATGGTAACATTCCGAAACTCGGGTTGCTCTAGGAACCGTGTGCGGAGTGTTTCAATGATTGGAGTCTCAAAAATATAACCTAGAGGAATCCAGTTTAAAAAGCGAAGTAACGTTTCTAGAGTTGCCTTGATGAGACTTGGCTGCTCAGCCATCTGCAAAACCTCAGAGCAAAGCTGAAAGATGGAAGAAAACTCCTGACACATAGTTGTCTTAAGATTTTTGGTTTTAGACTGCGTCATTTGCTCCGCCGAAAAATCGAACACTTCCTCCGAAAGGAGCCGGAGAATGGCCATGTTGTTTTCGCAGATGGAGAGATTGCTCCGACATGAGCTGATTATTTCGTTGATGAAATCAGGCCAGTCATGGGGCCAGTCTTGCTTCAATATCGATACCAACACAAGATTCAGTTTGTTGATTAGAATCCTTTGTTGATTCAAGCTTTCTGGTGAAGATGAGGCTTGGATTATGAAGCCAACAACGAAATTTCGAATTCCTAGAGACATTCAAGTTAGTCTGATGCCTAATTGATTGCTCTACAGCTCGTCACTCTTGCATTCTTCGCCGCGTCTTGGTCTTACCTTGTCGTTGCTCTTTGGGTAAAATCTTCCATCGGGTCTGAATAACGTTATCAAGAACCTGGAGTCCAAGAACTGAGAGAGTTAACGATATGGACGAGAAAGGTATAAGAAGATTCTTACATTTAGTTTGTGGATAATTTGCAGACTCTAGCAACTTATCCACTAGAATCCAAGAGTCTGGATTCTCGCGAAACTATTGGTCGGGTTAGCATTATGTAGAGAGGAAACTTTAACAGGTACCATGAAGGCGCTTACCTGATTCAAAACTAATTGCGCGTTTTTTTGCTGTAGAAAGTCAGAAAGATACAAAGAAGATGGGGAATAAGAAGAGCTCACGTCTGGGCCCCTTCCCTCGTAGAAGGTGCGGACGTGCTTGTCCAGTTCATCGATAGAGATAGTGGCCATATCTATATCTGTGCTTTGGGTCTAGGTAAAGATGTTTGCACCAGAGCTCCAGCAGAACAAGCAATGAACAATAGATGTGTAAGTTCAAACTTACTGGAAGGGGAGTTTCCTGAATGATTGAGTTGGCGGGGTAGGAAGATGAGGGGACCTAAGACTGCACCCAAGGTTTAGCGAAGATAATAGTAATTCCGCAGGTATTACGGGCCTTACGTACACGCGAAGGTTCCTCTACGTGTAGGGGAGATGCACGATTTATTCCAAGAGAATTGTGCGAAGTACTTGACAAAGAGAGAGAGGCTGTAGAGGATGGGCAAAGGGCGGGGCGGCTGGCCTGTATCCGTCATGAGATGAGTCAGCTCTCCCATTCAGTAAACACAAGAGCCGCAGTTCTTGGGGTACATACATGTATGCAACCATCAATTTTGCTACCTGCAACTATGAATTGATGTGTAAAAACAGGGTTTAAGTGGCTGACTCGGCCAATAGGACTCTTCCCATACTTCTACAATAATTTTACCACACGCTGTACCTTGCTGTAAGAAACAGCGCATAGGATACACGCTAACGACTCTATATACACCAAAATCTTACTTGCTATAAGATATTTTTGCTATAAGAAACGAAAATTGTCTGCACCTTGGCGTTTCTTATCCCTTCGTTCGTCAGAGCAAAATCGGAGACATATTAGGCCCGCGACGGCGTGGTGATATCCAGCAAATCTAGCTACCTACAGACTGTGGAGACACCTGTAAAAGGTATAGAAGGGGTCACACAAGTTGACTTTACAGCAAAGGTTCACGGAATGAGGGTTAGGTTTATTACTGAGTAAAAGCTGCCCATTAGCGCCTGGTCGTGAAATACACGAAGGGATGTAGTACATGTTGCTTGATGAATTCGTCGAGGTCTACACATTATTTGTGATATATTATTGACAATATTTGAAATCGAGTGAATTATATAAGATGAGATTCACCATGATTTGTTGAAACTACTCGTTCAGTTTAATAGAGCGTGTCATTTTTGACAATTGACACTTCAAAATTGACGGTTGCAAATGCAAAATTGACACTTCCCCTCCATAGGGATATGAAATGCGCAAGCCGCAAAATGACACTTGTGGATGCCGCTTTGGAGAGCGCGAAGCGCCAATTGTCAGAATTGACGGTTAGTAAATACGCTCTAATGAACCATGATGTACTTGTATTGTAGGTACATGTTCATACGGTCATACATGTACTACATGCACATCTTCGCATAGAGTATGTATATACAATATTCAATTGCACGAGTATACTCGCGCGTTAATTAAGTACTGAGAAATTTTGTGAGGTCGTTGCTACCAAGAATTCTCTTTTCACACGGGTACCCCCATGCCTACATGCATGCATCGGTATTTAATTTTGGGTGATCGCGTGTAACCCTATCATAGGTGTGCTGATTAAGGTGCCTTGGCACGTAACTACATGTGGCTCTTACCGGGTGCTAATTAACTCGCCACAGTTTCTCGGGGGGGGGGGGGGATTCAAACTACATGCATGGTACGTAGCCCCGCGAGACCGTAATTTCATGCTACCCGTAGTTCGGAACGGGAAGAAGCCTGGTAACTTATCCGAGCCACCACAGCCTCCAACGGTAACGATACCTATTACATACAGTCGCACATGTACTTCTACATACTCTAGGGTATATGTAGTCCTGGCATGTGTTAGATACATGTACCTTTCTCAACGGCTAACATGCCGCATAAGCACGTTTGTTATAGCTACAAGTACATGTATATGTACGGGGTTGTTTCTCGGCTTGAACGTTGATTTAAATCTAGATCCCGCGAAAGTTGGAGTGAGAAAAATGAAATAGAAGAGGCATGAGTATAGATTATAGAGGGATCAATGGTTTTATAAGTGGAAAGAGAGAGAGAAAATGGGAGAGAAAGAGAGAGAGAGATTACAGTAATTTGCGGAAGAGTATGACAGCTGGAGTGCTGGGATCCACTGACCAGGTTGCCAAGTACCGCAATTTCCGTGGGAGGTCTCCACCCGATCAGGTACTGTGCCTTTGATCCTTGTTGGTGTGCCCCCTTTCGCACATTCCTGGACGGCTCGCATGGACTCCAATTGGTCTCCTTAGCACGACCAAGCTACTCTACCACAGGGTTCCTCTGTACCTGCTCCTAATCCCTGAAGCGATGAGGGAGCACCGATGCAGGATGCAGCGACATGCGTGGGAGGTTTACCAGACTGTTTTGTCTACGGTGGAAAGCACGAAGAAGCAGGCCTAAAGAGGCAGAAAGGGAGGTAAGAGGCTCCATGTTTCCTGTTCTCGTAACTCATGCTTGCCAATCTCTCCACAGCCGCTGGTGGGCGGGCTGTCTCATCATCATTATTATTCAGGCCTAGACAACAGCCAATTCTTTCCCTTGTCCAATCTATGCAGGAAGCGGCCTCTCCTTTCCTTTTCCCGTTTTCGTTGTTTCCTACCCATAACCACTACCGCCCTCCCTTCTCTTCTTCCCTCTCCTCTCTCTACCACCACCACATCGTTGGGCTCGCCAGACAGAGGCTCTTCAGTCAACGCTGCTCTACAGCCAGTAAGCCCATTCAGTCATTCTTTTACCCCTCGAAGGACTTTCCTCCATAAACCCTCTTTTGATCTTTCACACCAGTCATTCCTTATTCCCCCTTCCAAGTTCACTATTATATGAATTTCTTTCCCTCTTTAGCATCACTTTATTACGCCAAACACATTCCTTCGATTAATCCGTAAATATTGCTCCGCCGAAATCAATTGATTTAACTATCACCATTTCGCATTAATACAACCCCAATTGAGAACGACTTTTACTCCAAAGCACCTCATACATAATAGAATACCCCAACCTGGCCGTGCTGTGAAAATCAGTTGAGATAGTTTGGATCCGTATATATATATAGTTCGAGGTGAGTAATGATATTTAGATGAAGTTGCGGTTGCATAATCTCTAACGTTGGTATCTGAGAACCTTCAGCGTTATCTGATTATGCATACCCGCGGGCACCACCGTTTGCACGAACTTGTACGTCGAAAAGCAACAGAGCTACCGACCATTATCCATGATGTGGCTACACCAAGCTTGAACAAACGTGCAACTACGACAATAATTTCTGCGACAGCGACTTGCACGGAAGGAGATCCAAGCCCACGCTGTGAGCTTCCAGCCAATGCTACTAATCAAACACTGCCAATTTTATTAGGTGCAATGTAAGTAATCTAGCGAGCTTATTGAATCTATAGTTATCTGACCTCGACTAGGGTTCCCATTTTTATTGCATGTTTAGTTTTGGTCTATCTTCATCGCAGACATACTCAGAAGTTGAGGAAAGAGGATGCCATGGACAAGACGAAAAGTATGGACTTTGGCATGGAATTTGGGAGTGGTAGTGGTGGAAATCGTTCTAAAATTCCACCCGCCCACCTTGCGGACGGCGAAAAGTCCGATAGTCGTAGCCGCCGACAGGTTTCCCTTGATCTCGACGTTGCATCACCATATCTTCTTCCGGCAGGCCTCCATTCACACGATACTCTACAGACGATGGGTGCAAGCAACGATGACAGATATGGGCGTCCCATGACAGCTGGTAGGGATTCGTCGATCTACGCACATTCCATACGCCAAGACGACAGTCCTGATGGTTCTCGGACAAGTATGAATGGAGGGCTGCTCAGTGGAGCTTCGCCAATGCCAATGTCCACGCCTCCACACCCACGTAAACCTTCTATGCCCAATCCTTCCCGCGGTGTCCCACAGATTACCGTCCCGTCTCCTGCTGCCATGAAATCTCCTGTTTCCGGGCTACCTTTAAGCCCTCGTGCTGGACTCAGTAATCGTGAAAGCGAAGAACAAAAGACTTCAGCTAAAGAGATCGAGGTGCAGCAACCGGCCCCTCAACAACCAACTAAGGCACTTCCTCCTGCGCTCGCAATTGGCTCCTCCCAACAGTCCCCCCAAATTGACATTCAATTCGATTTAACGGAGTCTTCAAGACCGCTTTCAAACGATCAAAGTGAATATGGCGAAGGGCCTCAATTTCGCCTGTCTATGGCCTCAGAACGAAGTGAAATGGAGGATCCGATTCCTCAAGCGGCTGGTCGAAAGAGCTTGGCCCCAGGAGCGTTTGAGGACCGCAGGCTTTCGATTGGGTTCCGTCCCCTACCTCCAGAAGGAACAGCTGATGAGAACGCAGAGGAACGGGCAATGCGAATTAGGTCGTTTTACAAGGAATACTTCGAGGATACGTCTCCTGCTCCCCCCATGCCTACGCAACCCAGACACAACAGACAAGATGAACATCAAGGGGAATACCACGACGATAGTGTTGCAGTCTATGACCAAGAGACTGGTAGATTTGTAATACCCGGAGCAAGACCATTCGCAGAAGCCCCAACCAGACGTGCAATGACTCCTCCTCCTCGCATGCCACCAAGATTTGGTGGACCCCCACCAAGGAACGGGTCTGCAGCCAGCGGTCACTTTATGCCGCCTGGTCCACGGTCCTTCTCCTCTGCGAGTGGACGGGCGGGCCCCGGAGGACCCCCTCCTCAACGAAAGCCAATGCCCCCACCTGCACCGCTTTATCTTCTACCCACGCCTTCAATGCTAAAGGAGGATGCCTTCGCTTCACCGGTTATATTTGCCCCCTCATCAAGAATTCCAGGAGATGGTACAGAATCCCCTGGACTTCGTGGGGGGCTTCGCCCATATTCACCCAGTGTATCTCCACACGTACCGCTTGCATCTGCTTTCGATGAGCTCTCCCTTCTTCCCAACCCTCATAGTCTGAGAAATTCTTCTACGTTCACTGGACTTGATTTCGCTCCTCCACGCAAGTTTAAGAACGATGATGCAGTAAGCGACGCAGGGAGCATTAGGAGCAATAACAGCGGCGTAACAGCCCAGCAAATCCAAAATATCAGGAACGGCGCGTATCGCGTGTCACGCATTCCCCAGGACGTCGTTCCTGCCAAAGAGGCGATTTCGTCCAACCTCAAGCCTACCTGGGATATGCGCAAGTAAGGAAATGTGGTCTGTTGTGAGTTAGAAATGGTGTTCGGATCCAGTATAGATTTCTTTCGTTCGGGTGTATAGGTTCTCTTTGGGCAGCGTTTTCCACAATGATGATTTCCAAATCCGAAGGAACGCAGGCGACCAGCGGCAATATTTCCTTAATTTCCTACATTCTTTTCTTAACGATTTTTGGAGGTTCTGGTGATATCGAGCACAAGGTCGGGCCAATTGCAAGCATAAATCAACCAATAACGAAGTGAGTCATGAGAGCGGAGGTGGTCCTTTGAATTTTAAAGCTATGTTTGAATCGATGTAATTGCGTGCAGTGCGTGCTTTTGTTATTTTGTCTGGATAGATGGAAGATGAAATTTTCGAGTACAGGGGTAAAAAGTGTTTCTGAAATACGCTCATTTTTCCCGCAGGATCGTTGATTTTCTTTCTTTCTTTCCTTCTTTCTTTCTCTTTCATCCGGCTTGTCCAACCTCAGACTTGATGGATGTTGAGGACCAAAGCCACATAGGGAGTTAATGCCTTGTGGGCATTATTTCGGTATCATGGGTACATATGTCTCTTTCTTATCTAGCGGTGATTCATTTTATTCCTTTTTCCCTATCTATTTCCCCACAGTTATTTTTGTCTTTATCTTACTGGTGCTTCCTGATTTCTGCCTTGAACTGGAAAATGGTCAGTCCTATTACATTAGTCCATTCTCAGGTCTTTTTTTTTTTTTTTGTAAGTACAATATAGGTTGTAGTATTAGCGGGATTTTATTTTATTCTTTGGCAACAATATGAATACGGGGGACTGTAGTATGTGCACTAGCTAATACTTCATTCTTTTCATCAATGTCTCATGTGCTATAAAATTTAATGACAAGCATGAATAATGAATGATCCGTTTTGTGGCCATACCCCGTGAGCGGTAAGGTGCTACACACCGTAGGCATTGAAACTTATCCAATTTATTTAACGATATTCTCGAGCTACGGGTACGTCGATTTGCCAGAAGTTCTCACAACTGGTATGTTTGCAATTTGTACGACGAGTGGGTTGTATTACCACCAACACTCATCATATGAACAAATCCGTGGTGCACACAGATTAAGACTTCGAGCTTCCCTAATTATACAAAGAGGTGTTGGTAGAAAGACGAACCTACATAGACCTCGGCTTTCGGGGCCAGGAGTTAAAGGTGGAAGGTGATGTTGATGGGACAGCGAACGAACTATCGATCAATTAATCACTAGCTCAATTAGCCAATAAACATCAGGAAATATCACCCAATGGTTAACCTCAATCATCGCTCACTTCAAAATCTTCTTTGTATGATCTCAGCGGCGAGGAATAGGTTTTAACTAACGCAAGGCTCACTTTCACCAAATACTCACTCTAGAATCTTGTTTTTCTGGTTCGCTATTTGTTTTCGTATTATTTGGAGAGTCCAATGATCGCGAAAGCTTGAACTGGTTCCTTCAGGTATGTAATTATAAATTCAGTGCAGGTGCCGGAGGAGATCTTATACGGACGTTGGCACAGGTTATTGATATACGTCCCGTCCCAGTCGCAAATATTATTGGCCAATCGGATAGCCCCATTGGGCAACTGTGAATTTTATTTTTCACTTACAAGGCAGTTTACTATAATCCTCATGGCATTTGAAGTTGTATTAGAGTTGAATTCATCTACCTAGCTTGAGGTACGTTGTTCTATAGATCTATTCCGTGGAAAGTCGTCGACCTTAATTATATATAACTACATGTAGCTATCATTAAAAATGGTTTATTTGCACTTACTTATCTAGACCAAGGATGGAGCAAGGGCACATACATGTATGTAGGCACATACCATAGAAAGGACTTTTGGTTTTTTTTAGTTGTGAATGAACTAGACTATATTAAGTGCAGCTATCGCTACTACCTGTTGTATTGTTGATCATGATGGAATATCGAACTTTTGTCAAATTCCCGCAGGCATTGGTCAACTGGACAGGAAGAAACTCAGTGACTGTTTGCCAAATCTCAGGAAGAATTGGTCAGTAGCCCATATTGGTCAATAGGACGGCCAGTTGGGCAATGGGCCGGGACGGAACATATATATTTGAGATTAAGTTATCTCAATGGAACATGCCCGGGTTTGAGCCCCTACAGCCCCTAATGAGAATGGAGTTGCTTACATACAAACTCTACGGAGCGTGGAAATGTGTATTTCGAAATAAGGTATTTTACCGACTTTCCTATACCCGTTTCACCGTGTATGTATGTAGCTGTCTCGCTTTAGCAATCAAGTTAATTTGGCAGCCCTCTTGCTCGAATAGTAACGAGTGAGAAGGATTTTGAAGTTCCTTCAACTACATGTAGTCAACATGGTACGCTGATGAGAGAAGCAGAAACTCCAGGGAGAGCGGGTACCTACACCCAGTTTTGGTAACGACCAGGGGTCCTAATGATTTATCTTAGGGTCGGGTCATAACGATTTTAATGGGACCGGGTCTTCGGCCGGTCATAATGTAGGTCGTATCAATGCCAAGAAAGGCGGTTCTATTAGAAAAAGATACAGACTTTTCTTTTCTCGAGTTTCCTATAACTTGATGATACGACCCAGGGAGATGATATGACCTAGATTATTACCTTTTACGACCCACGGGTCCTCGGCCCGGTCCTCACACTGAGGTCTCGTGGGTCGTTACCAGTACTACTACTTACACCTAGGTACCTACCTACAGGCATCTCTAACGCGAACACTTTCATGGCAACTCGAACACTTTCAGGGCTGCTGCTGTTGCTGCTGCTGATGGAGTGCACAGCGGGTACCTCCAGGGCATAGCGGGCATCACGAGCTCTGAGGCAGCACAGTGCAGCGCAAGTTTCTACAGACAGCGCTTATGGAGTAGATTCAAGATTGAGCTCTTCTAAAGTACTGTCGTTCACAGGGTATTGATGGACACTGGACAGTGGGTGTTGACGGACAGGGCCTTTTGACTAATAATTCAAGGCAAAACTGGGCTTGGCTGTCTCTCTTTTGGCAAATAAATCAGTAATCGTCAAAAATTTATTAATAGCATACGTACTGAAATGACCAAGGGTGTTACTGTCTAAGGTACAAACTATTTTTTCAACACATGGCATGCTATATATACGAAATGCCATAAAAAGCCCCCGCCCACCCCCTCCCCCCCCAAAAAAAAAAAAAAAAAAAAAAAGAAAAAGAAAAAGAAAAAAAGAAAAAAAGGAAAAAAAAAAAAATCTGCTGTAACGAACGGGTTTTGTCGATCTGAATCTAAAGTTCACACCGAGTCTTGTCTGCGTTACATTGCGGAATAAGTAGGTTCGTTATAACAGAGGGCAACTGTACTCTGTACTTCCCAGGACCAGGAACAGTAAACCAATATTTACAGAGCCAAGAATCGAAACCGATGATGTTTTCACGAGTCCAACATCGAATTTGATGTGGTTGCGCGCTCAATATGAGAAGATTTCCTTACGCTACTGTAATTAGTTGCAGCTTGTAGGTACAGAGGAGAAGAAAGCCCCTTACCGCCCACCCTTAGCTCCTTCTGCACTGGAGTCCTTACATACATGTACCTACGTACATGTACCGTACTCTCTCCATTCACACCCTTAAATAATCGCACATACAAGCTATTGAATATCACCACGCTAGAGCATAATATTTCTTCGTCCCTCTGCTCTCGTCCTTTTTCTTCACGTGTGGAAAGTGCATATTTTCTAAGCTGGATAGAGAGCTAGGCTCCACAAACGCATTTTACCCATCATTTCCGTGTCCCTTTCTTTTTCACCACCTTCTCTCCATATCCCTCTCTATATCCCTCTCCCTCTCCCTTCCCCTTCCCTCCCCCTTCCCCTTCCGCTTCTCGCCCTCCTCCACTGGCTTTTCAACCGTTGCCAGCTTCCCTGCCAGGTCATCGCTTCTTCTTCAACCTGGGCCAACTTGGGCCCTATCCACTCATTTAGTCATTAGTTGGACGCATTCGCTTGTTGTCGCTCTCGCTTTTGCTTTCGGTCATCTTTCTGATCCCCATAACCTTTATTATTCCGGCCTGTTTCTTCGACAAATCTTACACTTCGATATTTACAACCATCCCCCCCCCTCTCTTCCTCTTGATACTCCCCCACTTGCATTTCTTCCCGCATGTTGAGTCGTTTGCGACCTGCATCGTATTTGCTTCCCTGAATCACTTAAGCTCTTCCAAGCCCGTTACCCAACGATCTGCACATCAAGTGTGCGCCGTGAAGATTGCCATCTAAACGATGTCTAGTTCCAATATTACCAGTGCGTTTCTGTCTTCAATTCCACCTTCCCCATACCCCCAACCTTCTTTCTTACTCCACAAGCTCCCTGAAGATTCTTTGCTGACATCTATAGCCCCGCCCACTGCTGCATCGCCTCCGTCTTTGACGTCTGTAATTTCCACCACCTCTCCAGTGCGTGACCCTACCACATCTTTGACATCATCATCTACGGCGCCCCCGATCACTACATCCCAAATAGTTCCTACCACAACAACTCAACCAACAACGTCTCCAACCCCAACATCCCCAGCCACTACGCCAACCACCACCACCTTGACAACCCCTTCTATTGTCACGGCAACTCAAGCACCAATCACAAGTACCTTCGAAACTGTCATTGTAACTACTGTTTCGCCATCAAATGAAACTCCTCGGACAGTCACGCAAACCATCACTTCGACCAATATCACCCCAGGAGGTGTAGCGACAAATCTATCATCATCTGTTTTTACATCTAGCGCCGCAACTACCGGCACTTCTACCGCGGAGCAACCGACCAGCTCTTCAGCGGAAAACTCTAATGCCGGAGGTGGGGGGTTGAACGGAACAGCAAAAGTAGTGGTTGCCGTAATTGTTCCTATTATTGGTGTTGCGTTTGTTGCAATACTTGTGTTGTTTTTATGGAAGAGGCGACAAAAGACCAGGGCTGATGCAGAAGCCAGGAGGAAAGAGGTTGAGGAATACGGATACAATCCCAATAATGATCCCCACGGGGGCGCGGCATCAACGGCGGCGGGTGTTGGGGTCGCTCGGAGCAATAGTAACGGTGAAGAAACTCTTTACGAAATGACAGAAAGCGATGGAGCTGGTTATAGAGGATGGGGGTCGACAAACGGAGGGAGGAAAGCGTCAAATATGGGCTCGAGTGTGGGGACTAGCGTACCAATGTCCCCTGTTGGGATGGCATTTTCGGATGGGGGTTTCACTCAACAGCAACAGCAACAGCAGCAGCAGCAGCAACAAAATATCATTGGCCCCGTCCCAGATGGGTATACGGGCGTAGCGACTTCGCCTAGTACATCTACCTTCCCTGCGGGCAACTCACCTTCTGTTGATGGTTCAAATGCTCCTTTGATACATGGGAGTCGGCCTTTAACAGCAGACTCTAGTGTAATTGGAGCCATGAATGGTCCTGTCGCGGCGGAAAATTCCGGGGGAATTCATAGAGGCATTTCTAATGCATCTTCAAATTATTCCGCCATGACTCAGTCAGATCAATCTGATGTTGGTCAACCCATGTCCCATCACGATGCCCAATACTATGGTGTGGATGATGGGTATGAGGATGCATATTACTCCTCGAGGAACCCCGCCCATCCCTATTCAGGAGATAATGGTTATGGACCAGCCCCTGTCATTAGGGATGTCTCTGCTAGACGTAACACTCGCATTGAAACACCCACAAGCACCCACTTTCCTCAACAGGGTAATAGTGGTATTGCCCAGAATTTTTAGGAACCGCAACGAGCCAAAGCTTGTTAAGAATCCCTGAGGTTTCTAGAAATTTGTTGAAAACTTGGTAGTTATTTCTTTTTTGACCTTCCTTCTTTCTCTAATATCACTGTCTTGAATATGAGAACGACTTGTCTCGTATATCTTTAAGACCCAACATTAAAGGAATGGGGGTTATTCTGTCTACATCATTCTACAAGGTTGTATTCCGAGGTTTTTGTTCTGTCACCTTTTTTTTATCTTATCTTTTATCCTCCCCCCATCTTCGCATTTGAATCATCTACCAAAGGTACAGAGTTTAGTGCTTTTATGCCATATCTGTCATTTTTCTCTAAATTTTGTTTCTTTTTTGTCCCTTTCCCTCACTCTTATACATTGTATTTCTTTGGGCGAAAAGGTGGAATATCAACCTTTCTAATGTTGGAGATATTGACCCTATGGGCCTTTCTGAAAATTGCTCCGGTTAGCTGAAAAATGGCAATATTTGAGTGTATGTTCTTTCCGAATGGTGTCGAGTACATGTTTTCTCGTGATGCGGGGCTGAAATGGGACAAGGGTTCAAGTCTGGGAGTTTGTATGAGTTATTGTATGTACCTGCAAAGGCCAGGGCGACTGCAGTAGGCTTGGCTGTTAGGTTGTTGTGGTCACTCGCTTTGCGGCGAAGGATGGAGTCCGATTTGCTGTTCTCATGCGCAATGAGACTCATGACTTCATCCGTCTTTGTTGTTTGTTTTGATTTTGGGTACAGTGGCAGCATTCTTTTATAAACTAGGTTTGCCCAAACGTACTTGCGTATTGGTTCGGTTCCTACCCGATCCCACATGTATGTATTTGCTCTGCCTCATCCACTACACCCCGAGCGCACATCTACTCTTTTCTGGTTGCGCATGCACTCAAGTCGTGAAACGTCCAGGATTGGTGTAATCCAATCTATCTGGGCACACGTAGTATTTATATATCGGATCGCTCACTATGGCATGTCATTCATGCATTACCTAACAACGAAAAGCCCCAATATTAATATGTTGAATGAGGGGACTGGAATTTTAGTATGCCACCAGTTAAGTCAATGTCGATATATCAATCTAGGAGTCTCTAACCGGCGCTCAATAGGCGAACATTACAGTGTAAGATCATCTCCTTGGTGTTTATAATCAAATAAACCGTTCTTCTTAAAAAGGAGAACTGCCATACTTTTGTGGTATCTATGGGGATTTGCACAGAGACCGAATTATAACGGCGTTATGTACTGCATGCAAAAGCATCTATTCTAACCAGTGGGTCGGCGGATGATTCGATTTCATAGACCCAAAATTGAATTTTGTGCATATATCAACATCTACATCTAGTGCTGGTAGAGCCTAAATAGATTATTGGGTGTCGTTTATTTGATGTTGTCGAGGCTGCTCCATTGAAGTGCAAATATCTATAATCACTCCTGTCGTCTTACGGGGGGGGGTGCAATTGAAGAAACTGGACAATGGTGTGAAGTCAACAATTTCCCATGGGTACGTACGGTACTATAGGTATGTATATATTGTAGGTGTTGTTTACTGGTTGGCGAAAGGCCGAAAGTAGGGGGACCAATAGCGTGAGAGGTTCCACAGATATTTTCAGCCACGTTGACATCGATACTGCTGTTCAGAGGTAGAAACGATGATGCTGGATCTGAGACCTGCGTTTACGAGGCCGATCACTGGCCAAGGCTCGCTTAAAATCCGGGTAATACTACATGTATGCATCTATATCCGCCCACATCAATCTTGAAGGACATGAGGTGGTTGAGTTGTGGAGTCTGCAGATGGCACCAGACCGGACACAAATAAACGGCAAAGCTTACGAAAGCCATAACCACATATAGTGTTTACATCGTCGATATTCATATTATGTAGTACTTACTGGCTACTGCTAGAGCTGCGGAGTAGAATGCATATATATTAGCAAAGAAGAAGCGAATAAAGAGGTGAGGTGGAGTTTGATACCGGAGATTCTTTCTTCCTCAATTCCTTGCGTTGGATCCAGTCGGTTAGATCGATATAAATAAACAATGGTGGTTCAGGGCCTGTAGATCGAGCTCGATTCTTGGATGCGGCCCTTGCCAACATTTTATCAAGCCAACAACTACAGCCGTAGAAGAGCGCACGTTTGTCTTTACAGATCCCTCATTGGCTCTCAACCATAAATCTCTTCACGATATTTGGAACCCACGGGCGATTCCTCCGCGCTCGCTGACTGCGAAGTACATTTTCGAAGAGAGGGGCAAAGGTTGATAGAGTGAAGGAAAGAGGAGGGTAGGTTGCGTTCCAATATGGATGCCAGCAACTTCCACCAGGGTGACTGACAGCTACTGTTGATGAAGCTCGGCCTTCAGTCTCTGCACGCTCCCCTCTTCATCTCTACTTCGCATCATCAGCTATCAAGCACTCAACATTCCATCCCCTGACTGTAGGCTGCAATAATCCTTTCCACGTGACAGGAGGAAGCGGGGATCCCGAGCAGTTGCGCCCCGCCATCTCCGGAGCCTCACCATAAGCCAACGGCGGTAGCATAAAACAGCAGCATGTGAGAAAACCGCATCTTGAAACCCTTGAGCAAATTTATGCTGTTATGGGATGCACAGAGTAAACTGACATTTCGAGTGTGTATAGGAAGTTCGGAAAAACCTTAGCAAAGCGGCAATTGGACATTCCCGAGTATGCGGCCAGCTTTGTCAACTACAAAGCTCTCAAAAAGGTCTTTCCTCCTTGCTTTAGTTCATTCTGTATTCCTTAAATTCAAATCTGACGGTTTTCTATACGTAGCTTATCAAATCGCTGGGCGCTGGAGTAAAGGCACCAGCTCCTCCAGTACCTTTCCAAAGCCCGGGAGGTCGTTCCTTCAGTAACCCACAGGCTACCTTGCAAGCAAATAAAGCCACCTTCTTTTTTAAACTGGTCAGTTTGACCTAACATCTATTAGTATGATCAGGAGCTGAATTAGGAGCCGAATGAATACAGGAAAGAGAGCTGGAGAAGGTGAATACGTATTATTTGCATAAAGAGGCTGAAGTAGGACGCAGCCCCGCCGTATTGTACACACGGTCACTGACCTTAGCGACAGCTGAAACTGCGGTTGAAAACATTGATAGACAAGAAGAGACTTATACAATCCAGGAGCGAGACTACCTCTAAAATTTCAGCAACATACATTACTTTGCAGGAGGGATTCCGACAATTTCAACATGACCTAAGCAAGTTACAGCAGTTTGTTGAAGTCAACGCTACCGCATTTTCGAAGATTTTAAAAAAGGTAATTTAGAGGCATATATCTACAGTACCCGTGAATCAGGTTGCTAATAAAATGCTTGTAGTGGGATAAATCGTCGAAGGTATTTTAGGCCTACCCACCGAGTCTTCTGAGGCCAATTTACTTACAAAATGTCTCGCAGTCACGGACAAAGGAGCTTTATCTTTCTAGAGCGGTAGAGGTTCAACCATGTTTCAATCGAGATGTTATAACAGAGCTCTCGGACCAGGCAACAACCAGCCTTCTCGAGCTAGAGGCTTGGGCAGAGGGGGAGAATATCTCTTTTGACAGAAAAGGGGGCGAAGGTGCTCTCACCGGGCGTTTGCTTGGCACAGACGAGAGCGATGCCGATGCCGAATTTCTGAGAGCTATCTTTTCCGAGAATACTACCGTTTTGAAGGAGTGGATAGCTCGATTGGAGGGATCTGGAAACGCGCGTGAGAAGGTCACTAGAGCCTTTCTTGCCGCTATTCCCGAAGGTTCCGAGGAGTCACTTGGAGTGCTTATGGAAACCAACCTAATCGATTATCATTCAGAGGATGAGATCAATGAGAGAAATTGTCTTCACGAAGCTGCAAACGCTGGTAGAATGTCAATTCTCAAGGTTGGATTACAGCAAGGGGTGGATGTTGCTCGAGCTGATGTTTATGGTCGAATACCATTACACTATTCCTGCATTCATGGACACGTTGAAATGGTACAGATATTGGTTGATGTCAAGCCGTCGACGATCGATGCCATGGACCACGATAATTTCACTCCGTTGATACACGCTATAACACAGAACAAACAGCAGTGTGTCTCTAAATTGATTGCCTGCAATGCACGGATAGATCCGAGGCATGAGCAGGACTATATTCCGCTCAACTTGGCCTGCCAGTATGGCCTTTGCGAGATTTCGGAAATTCTCCTCAAACATAATGCTCGTATCTTACCAGACGCAGAAGGCCTTTACCCCCAGCACCTAGTCGCAAGATCTGGCGAGTCAGTACGGCTTCTGATGTTACTAAAACAGTATGGAGCGAACCTAAATGAGGTGGACAAGTTATTTCAATGGACGGCTGTGTTCCATGCTGCAAGCGAAGGGCATGTAGAATGCCTGAAAGCTCTTCTAGAGAGCGGTGCTAGGAGTGACATTTTAGACGAGAAAGAGCTTTCTGCCATGTATTATGCAGCTTGGGAGGGTCATCTCGAGTGTATGCAACTTCTTTCGGCAGCAGGTGGAGGACTTGGTATCGTCGGAACCTTTCCTCATAAACCATCACCTGCTTCAATTGCCTCAACGCAGTCTGGAACACATATGACTATTGACTCCGACGGAATTCCCGATCTCTCTCTTCCCCCTCCCATCCTTCCTCTGCGTCGATATGGGCACAATTTCCTTGAAAACAAGACCTTCGTTCAGCTCACTTTCCACGAGGCGGGTACTGAGCCAATACTCTTTTACCAGGACGACAAATATCCCGCAGCTAGACTCACTATATCATCGAAGTCATCGGATCTCATTCCCCGAAATCTCCTCCTTCCTCTCAGCGAGGATCTCAAAACAATATCCTTTCAAATTGATACATTGGATCAATTTACCATAGATTTCGACATATACCCAACCTTTGGGTCTAAGGTGATTGCGCGGACGATTGCTTTACCGAATACCTTTAGCTCAAGTAGCTCTGGTCATTGTGTTTTGCCGCTTTTCGACCCTCGCCTTCGGGCTATGGGGCGAATATCTTTCGATTTCCAAATAATCAAGCCTTTCCAAGGTGTTCCACTGGAGATAACCCATTTTGCAACTTATTGGAAAGCTACAAGTCAATTTGAGTCTCACCCGAATGCACTTATTACTGGATCATCCCTATCCGGAGAGTATGTCCGTCTTTACATCCAGCTCACCAGAGATTGCGTTCCTGTATTATACCCTAGATGGACAATACCCTTCGGTGAGCTTGAGGTCCCTGTTTCTCAGGTTAGCTTCGCTCAATTTCAAAAAGTTGGTGCTCAGTCTGGTGTGGGCATCAAGCAAAAGCTATTGGCAGTCAACAATCTTTCGGAAGCTTATCTCATACTGGCATACTCGTTTACTGGCCTCAACGAAGTTCTGTCAATTCTACCCAGTGAGGTGCACCTTGACCTTAACATTATCTATCCGACCTTTGCCGAAGAACAAGAGTATGGATTGACGGCCACGCCGAATGTTAACACCTGTGTCGACGCTATATTAAATACCGTATTTGATCATGCCAGAGCATTGAAGCAAACATCACATGATTTAACAAGATCTATTGTCTTTTCTTCATCGAATTCCAATGTTTGCACCGCGCTTAATTGGAAGCAACCAAATTGTGAGATTATCTTGAGTCGTTAACATGAATAACATGGTCGATGCTAATATATTGCAATGTAGACCCAGTGTTTTATTGTAATGATCTTGGGAAAGAGCCAGGAGACGATTTGAACGAAGTAGCCTCAAGCGCCAGGAGTTGTACGTCTATCAAGGAGGCTGTTAGATTTGCATCGAACAACAATTTAATGGGACTCATATGTTCTTCTCGACTCTTAGTAAGTCTATTCCAAGTTCCAAACGTGGCAGGGAATAGGTAAATTTATTCATTTCTGTATAGGATATTGTGCCGGCCCTTGCTCAGAGTGTAAAGGTCGCGGGCTTGGTGTTGGTTGCTCACACCGCAAATGATCCATCCCCAGCTATTCTCGCATCTGTCGATGGTGTTCTAAGGAAAGAAGGGGTTTTAAAGTTTGAGGAGACAATTGATATGTGAACTGCTAAGAGGAAATTTATGTATTACTATCTTTTTGTTCCAATTCCTTCCTTCTATTGAGTAGAAGATGGAATTACTGAGGGGATATTGATATTCTGAATTCATTTTCTAGAATCCCCTCCTTCGGCCAGGGCATAAATGTACCCCTATGTACATAATATTTACATCCTCCAGTTCGAAAGATGTTGTGAAGAGAAACTCAAGATTGAAGAGATTCTAACTGGGGGAACGGATCGGCTTTAGAATTATCAAGTAGAACTATTTGACGTCCATCGTCCATAATTAGATCCCACCGCAGCGTCTCGAACTACAATAACCGCATGTTATGTAAATAATAAATCTACAAAGTTTATGGGATAGCACGAGAAACATACCATACCCATCCTCGTCCTTCGCACGCTTTTGAAACGCATAAGGCCCTCACCCTTGGTTCCTTTGACTCGATAAGATATATCAATATCGCCATGGAGCTGACTCAACTTCCCACTGATCCAAGGCATCTTGTACTTATAGGTAATCTCGTCACCAAGAAGCTGTCGAGCTTCGGGGTGGACACGGAGCGCATAAAGAGTTGATGAAACAACGGAAGTGGATGACTTTTGGTAATTGAAAAGAGCGAGTGTACTGGCCCCCAAGATGACAAGGAAGACAGGAACGGATATCAGCGTCGAGCGGCGGGGACCCACGGCTGTTAGGGTTCTTATTATCAGTCTCAGCTACAACCGAGAGTAAGGAATGGAATCCGACCTGGAAGCGCACGGTCACTCCTTCTCTCTGTCAAAACCTGGCCAGTTTTGGGAGCAATGGTGATTTTACGCGATTGAATTGAGAACGCATTACGAAGGAGATACCTCGAAGGTGAAGAGAAGAGGCAGTAGTTTGTGGTTCGGATAGCCATTTTTGCTATGGTGATGATTGGTTTCAATTATCAAATGATGTTCGAGATCGAATGAGCTTAAAGACAAACGCCAAGACTCAGAAACAGATATGTGTAGGTACATATGACGTGAAAATCATCTCTTCCGTAGTTGAAGACGTGCTAGGCCCACGACGGCGATATCTAAATATAACTCTATAGATTCGCCAGAATAGGTAGAGCAGGCATCTTTCACGGTTAAACGGGGTTCACGGAGGGTTTGTATTTGAGGCCGAGTTAATTTGAAGTGATCGAATCTTTTCATAGGCTATTTTTATTTTAAAATGAAAGATTTGGCTTGAACTAACCTTCAGGGGCATGATATGGTTTTTGTAAATTTTTGATTTTTCTGAAAACAAGTTGATGCAAGGCAGAAAAGGAAAATCAAGACTTTTGCATTTGACTGTATTTCAAGGGATAAATAAAATACAATTAATGAATTAAACAAAAAAAAAAAAAAAAAAAAAAGAAAGGGATAAATAAAACCCAAATTTCCTCATGGTACAGTCCTAATCTCTACTTATTGCTTGTCTCTTTCATAGCAGCATAGTGACATACGGGTAAATGACAACTGGTCAAATAAACATAATGGGATTCTGGGTACATATATGTTACTTTGGTATTGATTCGTGACCATATAGATTATCCGCTACACAAAAGATCACTCGATTTTGGAGCTATCCAATATAATCAACAGAAATCAAGGTCGATGTTCGATATTGGATTCTGATCTCAAATCGCTTCTGGTAGCTCTCCAACAACCCTAACATCATATTACCTCAATATCCTAATTTTGGAGAAATACAATGATATTTGTTTGTAACCGACCAGGCCCTGAGTGCGAAGCGTCTGCAGAGATTTCAGCCTTGCTAGTAATTCATGCTAATACCAGATGCCCATACCGGGGGTAAAGGAGAGAGAAACCCAAGAAATTGATTCGAACGCCCCCAAAACGCCATAGCTCCGATAGTTCGCCTAACCTACCCTGACGCGTAAGACTCGTCGGCATATTCTTTGAAAAGCTGTCTCATCCCTTTGAGAAATAGTGAAAAGTCTCTACTTTCGTTCAATTTGTCCACTACATCGATTATTTTCGTCTTGTCTACCTTTGGCCGACATTGTATGACTGCACGAGCCAGAGTTAAGCGATGCTTGAGATAATTAAGTCGATAACGAGGTTGCTCAGTGATTCATACCTTCATAGTCTCTAGTAACCATGTTGACAATGAAAGAGAACTCTTTAGTCCAATCGGAATCAATAATATGTGTGAAGACAAACTTCAGGTGGTCGGTGACACCTGCCCCTTCTATACGCATGCCTAGATAATCTTCCCAGAACAAGAGCTCTGGGGTATTACGTGAAGCTTGAGAACTCAAGGTTTTACGTTCAGCCGCTCTCACTGGAAGTTGAGGTTAGTAAACTTGGAACCAGTACTGGCTTATGGGATGAAGGTTGCGTACTTTTTCTCTTCTTGAGTATAGCTTCTTGAGTCTCTTCAATTTGCGCTAAAAGGTGTGTGCGTTGTTCCTCTTTACATTGCTTTTTGCGGGCCATCTCAGAAATGGCTTGTTCTGCTTCAGCAGCTTCTTGGTCTTCTTTTGCAACGACTAAATAGAAAAAGACGAATTAGGAGCAACATTCCCATAGATCAAATTATTGCCACCACTTACTCTCAGCGACATCTTTCTCCTTTTGCTTATAGTGCTCAATTTCTTTCTTTAACATCCGCTGGGTATCTTCATCAGTGCAGTTCAATCAGTTTTCTAAACTCAGTTCATATGTAGCGCAAACGTGAGAGAGAGCACTTACCTTTATCCTCGACAACGTTTTTGGCAAACTCGTTTCTCTCCTCCAAGATACGCTTCCGGTTTCTCTCAATATACTCGTCGAAATTGACTGTAAAACGCACCATGCGGTCTCTGAGCTCTTCAAAGCCGAAATTGATCGGAGGGAGAGTAACAGCCATAGATGGGTTTGAATGGAAGGTTGTGTGTATACCTTGGGTCGATGGAAGGGTTGAAAGACATTTGGCGAGAAGAGGCTCTGTTTGTGTGCTATTAGATGCGGTCTACGCAGATACCGTAGTGGAAGTGTTGTGGGTTGTTGCCGTAGTAACAGAAGAATCTTATCTGCTTATCGGGCATCCGCCAGGCGGCAATGTCCGCGTCACATGACGAGCAAACTTCATATCTCAAAAATAAGTCATGTGATCCGTACTTATACTTGGTGCGAAGCTCCGGTCGCTGCTGCAAGCTTGAATCGACACGCAAGTTCTCCAACAAGACAAAAAAAAGACAACCTACAGACATCAATTATCACCATATTTTGTACACGTAATAAGCTTCTTGAAAGATGAGTGGATTTCAAGATGTACGCGATGTGATGGACATCAGTGGTCCCTCTGAGAGCACCCCACGAGCTCCTCCCTTGAAGAAACAAAAAACTGTTGAAAAACGACCAGGTGTGTTCATTAACTCACCCATTTCTGTCTTTTTATGAGTTTGTATGCTGACTTTATTGGTAACCGAAAGATGGAATTACCCGTGAGCTTTTCGCGTTACTGGGGGAGAATCCTCCGCCAGTAGCTATAGTCGAAAATAAATTCAAAGAGAAGCCAAGGTGGATGGGAAAGGCCAACCCATGGTATGTTTGAATATCTTTGTGCAAGGTAGATGACCGCCAGTTAACTTAGATATATACAGGGAATGGAAGGATTTTACCAACCCGGCGCGGACCGACAATCTTATTTTACGACATTGGGAACGAAAGAGTAAAGAATCCCCTGATCTCGAATACCGATTCTCGAAATTCAATGTCAAGGTCGATATCCCCACATACTCTGACGGAGAATATGAAATTCTGAAAGATCTGGATTGGTCTCGAGAGGAAACCGATTATCTTTTCAATCTCTGCCGTGAATACGATCTCCGCTTTATCATCATATGGGACCGCTATGACTTTCCTGATGGCAAGTCAAGAAGCGTCGAGGATCTAAAAGCGCGCTACTATTCAGTATGCCGAAGCCTGATGGAATTGAGAACACCGCTCAACCGGATGTCGCCTGAGGAAACCCAGATATTTAATACGCTCAATTTCGATAAGGAGCGAGAGACTTCCAGAAAGAAAATGGCAAATGTACTCTTTGCGAGGACACCCGAACAGGTGAAGGAAGAGGAAATGCTATTGGCCGAGCTTAAGAGGATCGTCACGAACCAACAGCGAACATTGGAGGAACGAAAGGATCTTTTTAATCGTCTCGAGATGCCGTCCTCACAAGGCTCAATCGCTGGATATACCGGAAGCCAAGGTTTAGCTGCTTTAAGAGAATTTATGGTCAATAGTTCAGACAAGAATAAGAAGCGAAAATCGATTGCCATGGGAGCCAATACTGGTGCGGATGGTGCCCAGCCAAGTCCTGCCGTGACTTCAATATCCGAGAAGGCTAGCACAACAACAGCTGCATCACAGAAGGAAGCAACACAACCGAAGAAACAGGCCAGGAAACTTTCAGGTGAAGAAATGAAAGAGTATGGTGTGATATATCACGATAAACTTTCTCAGGGAATCAAATTTCGTTCGTCGATGGTGGCGACAAACGTCAAGGGCGGTACAGCACAGAAGGTTTCGCAGGCTTTGGCTCAACTAGAAATTGCACAAAGGTTGACCATGCCAACATCGAAAACGATTCAGAAATATGAGCAACTGCAAAGCAATGTGGGAATACTTTTGGATACTAAGAAGCTGCTTGAAAAGGTGGAACAGGAGCTGAGGGTCCTCAAGGCGCAACAGGATGCGGTAAAAGAAGACACTTGATAAACTATTTAACCGCAAAAATGTACGATACATGATTTCGCGCAGTTGGGTATGGGAACTTGAACATTTCACGAAGGTGGGAGACTTTCTGATTGTAAGCAAATTAGCTTAGTATCGATAAAAAAGAAACCCTTTTCAATAAAAGCTTTTAAGAGAATAAAGTTGACAGCGATTGGATGGAAACCTAGGGAAAGTGACAATAATAAAGAAAAGAAAAAAAATCTCCAAGAGCGCCTGAACAACCCGGTATTTTCAAGCACTCAACGCCCTGCCATACAAATGAACAGCTATATTGCATTACGACCTTAACACGAGACCCCTATGATTCTCCAGTGAAAGCTTCTGTGCTTTAACCAAATATTTGACACGTAAACTAGCCTCTCCCAAAACGGATATTGATTTCTCAAATTTGCGACTCTTTAACAACCTAGAATAGGATTAAAGAACCATTTTTTGAGCAATGCTTATGCGACAGCATCGACTGAAACAATTGATATAGGAAAGTTGGTCTCATTGCTAGATGTTTTCTTTTCAGCTTCCTTTGCCTTTGCAGCTGCGGCGATTATGGAGGCGTGATCGATTCCTACAGCTTCTTTCGCAATTTGAAGGCTGATTTGTGGACTAGCTGGAGAAATTCGAAGAACTTTTCCTGTATGCCCATCCTCTGATATCTTCTCAATAATAACGACGCTTCGGATTGTTCCCTTAGGCTTTTTCTTGATAGCAAGCTTTTCGTGAAGCTCATAGGACGGGTCACAAAGAAGGGTGTATGTGAGATTTTGCTTAGACTTGAACTTTTCGTTTGTTGCTGGGCTGTCGCCAGAAAGCCCATAAACGGTATAGCCAGCATCCAAAAACGCGGTGAAGCTATCCCTGAAAAGACATGCCTGGGCAATACAGCCCGGAGTAGAGGCTTTGTACATGAACAGTTAATATCCGAAAACGGAGAACACTAAGGGAATTTGAGAAAGAAGCGTTTATATGCATAGGCTTGTGCAGGTAAGTGGAACAGGTGTATCAAATACCTTTAGGATAAGCAAAAATAATAATTCCCTTCTGTGCACTCTTAAGCAGGCTTTCTATTGTGGTCTTACTACCATCCTCGGTCTGAATTTCAGGAAGATCGGTTGGCACCAAATCACCGTCCTTGAGCCCTTCTGACATTTCATCAGCCTTTTTTGTCTTGGCGGGGTTTGCGACAGACTTCACGGCCATCGGTTTGGCAGTAGTTTTTGCAATAGATTTAGAAGTGGCCTTTGCAGGCTTCTCAGCATTTCCGACCTCCTCGGGGCTTGCAGCAGCCCTGGAAGATGAGGCAACTTCCACGGGTTTGGTGAGAGCAGCTTTCAAAGCGATCGCGGTGCTATCGGTAGCAGTTTTGATCTTCTTGGCTGTAGAATTCTTCGGCTCGGCGGATGCGCGCTTTTTGTACTCCGGGGCAGGAGAGGGGGGTACGGGGACGTTTTTTTTCGCAGCGTTACGGCCGCTTCTGCGTAGTGGGACCTCAGACATGACGATTAAGATAAACCAGAGGGATGCGTAAAGGATGGGATGAAGGTGCGAAAGACAAGTGCGTTGGCTGTTCTAATACACACACCGAGAGATGAGAATAGGGGATGATTTTTGCAATGTTCCTTCTTTTTAGTGAAAGACCTTGCGAATGGGGATGAGAAAATTCGAGGGCGGGGGTGAGGGGAATGCGGAGAGCTCTTATTTATGTTCAAGCCGGGAGGGGGTGTGAGCAGTGGACGAGGCAATAGCTGTTGTGGCAGGCGATTGAGGTTGCAATATGGTTGAGCTGTTCAATAGAGTGGTGTATCCAATAGATACAAGGTATAAAAAGCGATGTAAATTTACAATGGTACTGTATTCAATCAAAGAGCACTTCGGGACATGGTGGGGCAAGAAAATGATCGTGGTGAGATGCACGTAGATAAAGTTTCAAGAGATGAGACGTGAAATTAGAGAAGTTTGGCGCCGTAATGCGAGGAGGACCGGATTACTGTGGGCACCAATATAGCTAAAGTATGGATAAATTTAATATTTCTTTATCATTGATCGAGAGCTGGAAACCCTAATATTGACTAACAAATCAACCTATCCAAACAGAAAAATAGCTAGATACCGAATAAACTCAGATAATAGGAATTCTCAGTAAATGGAACGCTTTTAAATTATTATCTGACGTCCCATAATCAACTGGGGAGATCTGATTACTGGTGATCAACTGGCGGCTACCAGAACATAAATCAAGTGAGTATGGCGCGAGAAGTTATAAGGGGTGAGTGTGTAAACTTCAACAGACTTTCCTTTAAAAAATTCTGATTGGGTCACTAAGCTGTCTCACCTAGGGTAAGGTTTAAAAATTTAAAGGCTAGGGATATGGCAAACGGAATTATTAGTTGATTACACAGAGTAGAGATAGAGAATTACGAGAGTAAAGATTTTTTTCTGTAGAATCCGAGTCAGTACCCCTCAAACTACTACAGCAAAGATGTCAACAAAAGAACTTGAATATAGTTGTCGGACAGGAAAACCGATTAGTCGCCAAGCAGTATGGAAAAGGAAAAAGCTTGCAATGCAGAAAGAAGCTCAGGGCACGGAAGGCTCAAGTTTCTCATCGGTTAAAGAAGTTATAGAGAATTGGCCGTTAGCACCCGGTCTTCAAACCGTTATGGAAATGCGAAGAAGGATACTTGAATCAGGTAATTGGAAATTTTTAAAACTAAAGTGAATCAAACAGCTAATCAATTCAGCATTGTTTGATATCAAAAAACTTCTCAAGTCATCTAAATATCCTACGGGCCAGGATTATTCTCGTCATTTACAAGTTCAGTATTTTATAAATCTTGAATTGAAACGACCGATTGCTTTCTCTTCCAACAACACTCGAGAAAAATTAGCTCTACAAGTAGCAAACTCCTTCAACGGTGGTAGTAAGCTAGCAAGCTTTATATTACAAAGAGAAAGAAGTTGGATTAGAAGATGGTAAGCTTGACTATTAGAATTTTATTAACCTTAAACATTTACTGATAACAATTGAAGATATATACAATCAGGTTTACAGGGGAAAACCGCATCAGCTCAATCGATTTTAAATGATGAAGGTACTTTGATTGCAGTTAGAGAATATATTGCCCGTGCTGGACAACAAATCACTGCACAAAGTCTTGCCGATACGGTAGTACGATATTGGAAGGATTCATTATCAACCAGTAAGGAAATTGAGAATGATTATTCAGAGGATATTATTTCTATGAAGGAGACGATTCTAGCTCTACAGAATATTGATTTAGATGAGACTAAGTGGTATTTATCTAGCCGTTCAGCTGTTACATGGCTGCATCGATTGGGCTATGATTGGAAAGAAGTTGGGAAAGGTTTATACAAAGATGGTCATGAAAGAGAGGATGTAGTCGACTATCGGCAAAACACTTTCCTACCGCAACTTGAAGCTTTAAAGCCGCGACTATTAGAATGGGACGAAAACGGCGATTATGTACGTATACCAGCTGAAATATTAGCAGCTACTGGAGAATCCCCATGTGTACTTGTTACACACGATGAGTGTACCTTTCATTCAAACGAAGGACCTACCCACTAATGGGTCAAAACTGATAGTCAACCGTTGCGGAAGAAAGAGTTAGGAAAAGGTATTATGTTATCAGGTTTTCTTACACCGCTGTCAACACTGCAAGCTCTCAAATATATTTCAAACCTTCAACTCCAACAGTTAGGTCTCCGCCGTGACGCAATGGAGATGATTGAATGTGGCGGTAATGTTTGGTGGGATAATGAGAAGTTGATGCAACAAATCAACAATTATGCAATACCTATTTTTGAACTAGCTTTTCCGGGGTGTCAAGCGGTATTCCTTTTTGATAACGCACCTTCACATCATGCATGGGCAAAAGACGCACTCAAAGCTTCATCTATGAACTTGAGACCGGGCGGGAAAGCTCCTGATATGCGAGACGGTTGGTATATTGGTCCGAACGGAACAGAGTTCAACAATCATTCAATTTTTCACTTGGTGATTTTACGGTACCGGAAAACTGGAGAGGTAGACCAAAAGGCCTTAAAGTTATAACGTATTCTACCGTGGAAATGATCAACACCGGGAAAGTGACTAAGCAGGACCCGATGTTATTATACTATGATTGCGCCTATAATTGCTACTTATGTGCTCTCAGTTTCCTCCCAGACCTCGTACTATTACTACCTTCTATACTAGGGACTTCTAAACTTCTTCTACTTGTAGTTCTATCTATATATGTGGGGGAGACCTCAAATTCTTGATCACCCTCGCCAGCTGCACCCTCATCTGTAGAGAAACCGTCCTCCTCCTCAAAATGGACAATCGGAGTTCGCTGAGATGCCTGTTTGGCCGGGTTTTTCTTATTTTGAATTCGGGGTTTGTTCTCTTCCTGTTCCTCCTTTTCTTTTTTGTTGAGAGCGGCCCTGACCATTTTCTCATTTACGGCTTTATCCTTCTCTTCCAATTGTGCGCGCAACTTGAGAACACAATCTACAGTTACTACTAGTGCTTTTGTAACGGGGGTCTCTTCTAAGAGAAATAGAATAGAGTAGAATAGAGACGGCTGTGCAAGATAGACAATCAGGTTGCAGATTATTCAAAGATACTATCACTAGAACTCAATAATCTTTAAGGGCTCTGCTACCGATAAGAACTTTGTTTTCTTTCTGATGAAGACTGGAGAGGACAGGACTGAAGGGCGAGAATGAACCTGAGTACTTATACTCCGAAGTCCTCTATTCGCTGCTCCTAACTCCTTACTAAGTTCTGGTAAAGCCTTTCCTCGGTCCCGGGAACAATACCACCGCTACCCCGCTTTTCTCTAAGCGTCAGCAGGTGCTTCCGATACTCAAGGCAACCACCCTTAGTCAAAGCCTTTGTAACACCTGCAGCCTTGATTGCCACACAACCGAGGACCTGCATGAATGAGCTGCCGCTCAGGTGTAAGCATAATCATTGCTGTAGAGCTTCTCGCTTATTGTAGACTTCCCTAGCATAGTCCCTACCCTTCGGCGGACTTACAATGCTCAGAGGATATAGAGGATCACCGGGCAATCAGAGCTTCACTCTGGCCGGTCTTCTAGTCACTGGCGAGGCATAGACTCGTCAGTCATTGCTCCCATGAATAGATCCTCTTCCTAGCGCCCGGAATGTAGCTACTCTAACAGCTGGTAGCTAACCACACTGCTGGTACTTGCATATCACCGCACAACTGGCTTCTAACAATAACTCTCAGCATGTAACCGGGCCCTGTGTGTACTCATACACCAAACAGTTGAAATGGCTCCGTTACAGCTTTTGAGAGTACTTTACGGCTTTTGACCTTTTTCATATCTGTTAGTCCCCGCTCCCGCAATCTCTTGAGCTCCTCCCACAAGATGACATTTTCAGTACTTGATTGCGCTGCTGCATTGGCCAGTTTTTGAACCATAATTTGACGGTATGCAGATTGAGGTGTCGCGCTTTGAAAGAGTGACATTGTTCGCCTAATATGAGTGTGTACACTCTTTCCATGGTGAGGAGTACGGGGTGCTGTAGTTGGGTTGTTGTCATTTAAGTTTTTGGTTTTGATTTTAGTGTATGCGGGTGAGTTAGGCTTCGCAACGAGTACTTCGGAAATGATATTCAATGGACGTCTAGGATTGAGTGGGTAGATGCCAGTTGCTTCAAAAGCACTTTTAATATTCTTTTGGGTGTAAGTGAGCTCCCGTTCTTTCATCAAAAGACTGCCGGTACTATGTTAATATTTTTCTTTCAAATTCCGATAGGGTCGGGGATGGGGAGACTCAACGGGAAGAAAGTTCCTTTATGTATGCCACAATTCTCACGTTCTATAAAATCATCTAGCAACCTTGAATAGTTGCCTTGTAAAGGACCAAACAATCCAACATCCAATGGTTGTAAGAGATGTGTCGAGTGTGCCGGCAAGCAGAGAGGAATAATATCATGCTCCAAACAAAAATCGAAAAACTCCCAAGCGACGTGTGAGGTATGCCCATCAATTATCAGTAACCGTTTATTTCCTCCTGCTCTATATAATTTAATTAGGAAATATTTTAAAAGCACTTCAGTAGTAATTTGATAGTACTTACCTGTCTCTAGTATTCGGTTCAAAATTGTTACGAAGATATGATAATCCTATCTCCCGATTGGACCAACCAGTAGCCGAAAAGCTGAAATAGGCTTTGTTACCTGCTTTCACCAAAGCATGTCATCCTTCATATTGTGCTACTCCTTTATACACAATTGTTGGTGGTAGGTAGTCACCAGCTGCCGATACCGTTTCTAGGACAGTTATGAGACTACGGTCACCATCATGAACTTAGAAAATTCGCTTCTTTCCTTTCTGACAGATAACTCTGGTAGCTCTCCCCTGTCCCATTAAGAACCCTTTCTCGTCCATATTATATGTGTTTTCTGGTAAAATATGGTGCTTTCGGATCAGCATTTGGAGCTGCCGCAGTAACGTTGTTAGTCGCTTATACGCTAAATTTCTGATTACACAACCGGTTAAAGTTTTACTTTTTTAAAAAAGTCCTTAATCACATTTGGATTATTAGCGAAGCCCCTTTGCTTGTCTAACCGAATTACGAATTTTGACTCCAATTCTGGGTGGCGAGTAAGGAATCTAGTGGTCCAATTAACCCCTAAATTCGGATTTTTGACACCATGGCTGCGGACATAATTGGTGGCCAGGTCTTTAACATATTTCCTACGGGGCGGGAATCCCCATATATCTAGTTGAATAATCCAAGCCACTATCGCCTTCTCTTCTGGAGGAGTGAGAGCTTGCTGATATATATGCGAATGCGTTTTAGACTGGACACTGGCAAGGCGGTTCCTGAGTTTCCCATAGGTGATATCGTGAGCCATAGCTGCATCTCTGATATTTTTGAACTTTTCGCTTCTATAGGCTTTGACCGCGGCCAGAACCCGCTCCTCATCATCTGAATTCTTTTTGGTGCCTTTCCGGGCCATTTTTGGTTACTGTAGGTTGCGATACTGAGATTTTCTTCCCCGCATTCACATATTTTAAGGTGGGGTTTGCTTAGTCACTTTCACGGTGTTGATCATTTCTCCAGTAGAATACGTTACTACAGGAGCGTGGGTTATGGTATGATAAATTAAAGCAGAAGTGTAAAGGTGTATGTGATATTAGTACACCTGAAGGCTGTTGCGCAGAACGTATTATGTCAATTCAACCAGATTTTAAAGAGCAAACTAGTAAGATTCAACAACTAGTTGCCGATAAAGGTCATTTAGCTCTTTTATACCCCAAATTTCATTGCGAGCTCAACTGGATTGAATACTTTTGGGTGTAACGGGGACTATGGGCGTAGAAACTATGAAGCCAAGGAATACAACCGAGGCGAAGACGTGGACGTAGGAGGTTCGTGGACTATGGACTATGGGGCCGAAGGGTACACCTAAGGCAAGAACGGGGACTGTGGACTATGGACTATGGATGGTTGTACCTGGTCTAGTATACCGAGTAAACCCTATGACGTAGTGCGAACCAAATAGTATTCGTAACTGTAAAGTACAGAGGTTGCATAAAGAGAAAAGAAGAGAAAAGGAAACAGAAAAATCACAAGACAACGCCCCCCTTATATATCCATACCCAATCCCAATGCTGACTCATACCCTCACATAACAGAAACAGAAGGAACATAATAGAAACCCGCTTCGCTAAACCCAACCATACTACATAATCCTTCTCCCTTGTACCCAGACAACTCACATAGCCAACCCGCCTAGCTGCCGTTACATTGGGGTGCCACCAAATGGTATACACGAAAAAACCGTACATATACACTTTCTGCATCAAGAGGTCACATACCCGAAGGTCTTTGTCATGCACAAAAATTTGTATGGGGGTATTGGAGAAAATCACGAGATATTATGGAAGCTAATAGAGCCGGGACTGGTTGGGGTTCTCATACCAACAAACAGTATAAAAGTCACAGACGGGTACAAATGGCGGGTCTTTTAAACCCTATTTAATAGCAACATATATCGCTAGTACAGTATCGAATAGTACAGAATTTAATTTTCTAAATCCCATTCAGCCATTTTTTCTTCCAATAATTTCTTCAAACCCTCCTCTGAAAACTCCCCTGCCCGTCTCAAATTTCTCTCAATTTTAACCTTTGCCGCATATTGAGCCGATGCTCGCTTTGCTTTCCTAACTTTTCTAGCCCTCCAATTGGCCGAATTAATTCTATCCTGCTTTTTTTTTTCCTCATCTACTCTAATTAGTTTAAATCAATAATATAATTCAATATTATTAATTATACTTACCAGAAGGTTTTTTCCGCTGCCTAATATCCTTAAGAGAATCCCGAGCCTCTTGGTGTTTAGGATCCTTACAGGAAAAATGGAGAAGGTGTTTCCAAACTCTCCTGTAAGGATCAAACTGGTAACTGAAATCCTTATAACACACTGGGCAATTAATGAATTTTTTGCTGGTGCTTCTAACGGCTTCATAGCGGTTTTTTTCAGGAACTATAGGAACTGAAGATTTTAAAGGTTTCTTTCTAATCCTCCCTGTAGCTGTATAGCCATAAGGGGCACTAGTAAACTGAGAAGTATTTTCTTGGTCTGGCATTACTAGTAAAGAGGTATTAAGGATTGATGGTGGGCGGATTGCTGGTCGACAGGTACAAATGGTTGCTGATGGTGGATTTTATAGCAGCAGGTGAACCGCGACCTAATCCACACATCAACATGCTGTACCCCGACCTAATCCACACATAAAGGTTGTGAACCGGCATAAAATGGCAACCACCTCGCGTACCACGCCCATCTATCCCTTGCCCAACCAGCTAACTCTTGCCCACCCGGCTAACCCTTGCCCACCCTGCTAACTCTTGCCCACTTGACGAACATTATTTTTCTTCCGAAGTTGACACACCCACCCCCTATAGCTTCTCGCGCCATAGGTGAAAAATTATACCGAGAATCTCTAGGTAGGAAATGGCTAATATATACCTATGACTAAATAAATATACCGAAATTAATAATAACCGTATCTTATCCAAAATAGATATTTTTTGGCAGTAGGGAGTATTTACAAAAGTAGTTAAACTGAGTAAAGATAGATAATAAGTTCAAGGTTACACCACCTCACGTAAGAGTTCGGTACTATCCTATAAGAATGTCGCGAATGAAGTTTCAAACATTAACAGAGATCGTAATGAGAGAATAATGAAATCAAATTATATAGAGACGTCTGTACAATATAGAAGTCAAGTTTGCAAACCATACAAGATTTCTGTCCCTTGTAAGTAGAATTTTAATTCAGATCAGGTCGGGCAGGAAATAGTTTGGTTTCGATAGCTGATACAAGATATGTATATTGATGCTATCTGTAATGGGGGTCTGTAACGGAGCCATTTCAACTGTCTGGTTTATGAGTACACACAGGGCCCAGTTACATATTGAGAGTTATTGTTAGAAGCTAGGTACACAGTGAAATGCAAGTACCGGCAGTGTGATTAGCTACTAGCTGTTAGAGTAACTACATTCTAGGTGCTAGGAATGGGATCTACTTATGGGAGCAATGTGTGAGGAATACGTACCAGACTACAAGAATACACTATGCAGAGCTGAGAGTTCGGTTAACAACTACAAAGGTAGAAGTCTGAAAGGTCTCTTCATGTAACAGGGGTCTTTTGTAAGAGAAATAGAATAGGATAGAATAGAGACGGCCATACAAGATAGACAATCAGGTTGCAGATTATTCAAAGATACTATGTAACGGCAGCTATGTATTTCGGTCAGCTGGTAAACTGGAATGAGGAAAGAAGGTATTATGCACTGGAATTAGGATTTGCAATGGGGATTTCTGTTATGTTCTTTCAGTTTCTGTTACGCGGAGATATTAGTCATCTTTGGGCTATGGTTGGATATATAAGGGGGCGTTGTTTTGTGCTTTTATCTGTTTTCCTTCTTTTCTTCTTTCTTTACGCAACCTCTGCATTCTACCCGCTCGCCTCTGGCTCGCGGTAGGATTTCTTCCCCCCGAGATGGAGTTATACTGATTCTCGAATTGCTTCGGTCCCTGAACTTCCCTCGCTCGACACCCCCCATTCTTTGTTCGTTCGGTGCCCTCACGGGATGCGTCCACCGTTCACCCCTCGCCAAACCAGCGGCTACTCTCGAAAGCCGCCTTCGCCCCTCCTTATTTTCACTCATCGCACGAGTGATCCCACACGTCGGGTACGCACACTGTCAGTAATCTCCAGTCAGCGAGAACCTACTGCCAAAGCGCTCGACAGCCCGCGAAGTTAGCGACCTCTCGGTCGCGAAACTATCGTCAAATTTTTTACCCGAGGTCCCGTGACCTTACCCCTCTTTATCGGCCTTAACCAGGCCACCCACTTTTACCCGAGGCGGCCCGCTCCCCTCACCCCAACCCAACCGGTCTCCGAGACCACCCTCAACACAACACGGTCGGCACTTTCGATTGCGACCCCCATACATACTGAGCCTTCGGCTCAACCCTTTTCGCATGTCCCCTCCAGAGGACACCACTTCAAACACGACTCGGGCACAGTCTTTAGCCGTTGCTCCAGGGACCGACGACCCCACCCACTCCTTATTTGACCTACCGGTCACCACTCTTTACTTCCTCGCTGTTTGACAAGCAGATGCTCGAGGACCAATACTCAACCCACCCCCCCTCGCTTTCACCCCTGACGCTGTTGCGGTTGGCTTTTCCTGCCTTCGTGCGCGTGGTTTCCCAGTCCTGTTAAGGTTCGTCCACAGATATGACACCGGGAACGTTGGTAATGATATCGTTTCGATTGAACACTACGTATAGGATTGTGCTCGCTAATGTAGTTGACGGAGAAGTTTGGGGTTTTATTCTTACTACGGGGAGGTTTCTTTGTTGTCGCTTAGATTCTGCTTACCTGTACCACTTGTTATTCGCGCCCTCTTCGTGCGCTGTTTTGTTTTATTATGTACGCGGTTCTTGTAGCTGCGGTAGTTAGTTTTGTACTTCGTTTTTTGCTTTCGGGTTAGTCGGTGGAGGTTGTAGTCGGGTAGTTAGGTGTGCGATAAGCTTCGGCTTCTATGCAATATAAGATTCTCTCTCTCTCTCTCTGCATTCTACCCGCTCGCCTCTGGCTCGCGGTAGGATTTCTTCCCCCCGAGATGGAGTTATACTGATTCTCGAATTGCTTCGGTCCCTGAACTTCCCTCGCTCGACACCCCCCATTCTTTGTTCGTTCGGTGCCCTCACGGGATGCTTCCACCGTTCACCCCTCGCCAAACCAGCGGCTACTCTCGAAAGCCGCCTTCGCCCCTCCTTACTTTCACTCATCGCACGAGTGATCCCACACGTTGGGTACGCACACTGTCAGTAATCTCCAGTCAGCGAGAACCTACTGCCAAAGCGCTCGACAGCCCGCGAAGTTAGCTACCTCTCGGTCGCGAAACTATCGTCAAATTTTTTACCCGAGGTCCCGTGACCTTACCCCTCTTTATCGGCCTTAACCAGGCAACCCCTTTTTACCCGAGGCGGCCCGCTCCCCTCACCCCAACCTAACCGGTCTCCGAGACCACCCTCAACACAATACGGTCGGCACTTTCGATTGCGACCCCCATACATACTGAGCCTTCGGCTCAACCCTTTTTGCATGTCCCCTCCAGAGGACACCACTTCAAATACGACTCGGGCACAGTCTTTAGCCGTTGCTCCAGGGACCGACGACCCCACCCACTCCTTACTTGACCTACCGGTCACCACTCTTTACTTCCTCGCTGTTTGACAAGCAGATGCTCGAGGACCAATACTCAACCCACCCCCCCTCGCTTTCACCCCTGACGCTGTTGCGGTTGGCTTTTCCTGCCTTCGTGCGCGTGGTTTCCCAGTCCTGTTAAGGTTCGTCCACAGATATGACACCGGGAACGTTGGTAATGATATCGTTTCGATTGAACACTACGTTTAGGATTGCGCTCGCTAATTCAGT